ACACTGATGTTATTTCATTTACGTGATTTCTTTCTCGTCAATTTTTTCCTAACCATGCACGGCAACTAGGTCAGGTCTTGTTGCTCTGTTCAATGGTTTGGGACATTTCCTTTGGCTATTGGGCCGGACCCAGGAAAGAACCTAGAGCCATGACTGTCAGATACGCCACCTGGGGGCTGTGTGAGGAAGATTTCGAGGGGATTTCCTTACAGGAGTTCGAGTCGGCCGAGAGCAGTATACCCCTGTTGTCTGAGTACAAAAAAGGTACAGGTAATTGCTTTCCATTGGCCTGTGTCCTTGCGTGTGTAGAGGATGTGTCTTGATAAATAGCTGTATCGTGTTTTATTGACTGTAGATTAATGTTTTCTCCTTGGGTTTTTGTCAGTTTTGGGTAAACTGTATTAGATGCTTTTTGTCACATGGGATATTAATTTACACAGACAAATTCAATCTTCTGATGAAATTTGTCACAGAATTCTCAAAGTGAAATAAGGACATACAACACCACTCTAAGTGATCAAAAAAAAAAATGCTACTTGCTGATTCAACAGAAATCGTGGTGCTACTAAATTTTACCTTTCCCCCCTTTTTTTTTTAAAGAAATGGATATATTATTTTGTTTCATGAATTAATTGTCTATTTATTTGATATTACCAATATTGCAGCATTTGATTATAACTGGTAACATACTACATAGAAACACAAATTTTTGTGGGCAGAAAATTTTGTTGAATTGTCATCTAAAAAGCTTTCGTGGACATAAAATTTCGTTGTTTCAGGATTAAACCAATGCAAATCATAGTCATGTTAAAATTTCGTGTGGGATTTATTTTCGTTGATAATTGTTAACAACGAAATAAATGAAATTTAATCCTCCCACAATCATTTCTGCTTCTACAATTACATTTTGCTGCATATTCTATTGATAAAGCTTCCACTAAGTTCTATAAGTATATCGCTAAATGTCTTGTATACATACATTTATATGATCATCATCTTCCCTTATAAGTCCCCTACCGGTGAAATTAGAGGGCACTATAGGTTTCCTCTGCATCTGTTTGTCCGTCTGTCAGTCCCTCTGTCTGTCCGTCCCATTTGATTTTCTGCACTTTTTTTCTAAATGCTAATGGAGATATTAAGCTGATCTTTAGTTTTTTAATATCTTCACAGAGAAGTTGTAGATCAAATCTGCATTTCATTCAGCTTCATTAATTTTTTTTTTTAGGGAAATACAGCTTTTTTAGTTTTAAATGTTTTCTGCACTTTTTTCCTCAAAGATTCCTCATGTTTTGGTTTGTAAATGTATCTTGATTTGTTAGAGATAAAATCTCAATTTGATTCTGCTTCAATGATTTTTAAGGGAAAATTGACGTTTTTAATTTTTGATGGAAACCAAATAACTTTTACTGGTAGTGGACTAGTATTGCTAATGCAATACTCTCATAATGCTTGTTTATACTGTAGCAATTTGTCATATTGATATGATAAACAAGAGCATGCTATTATAAAACAAGACAAGCTCTTGACAAATAAGTTGATGAAACAAGGATTTTAACAGTATATATACCTGATTATGACAGGGAGCATATAGTGGGTGTGACTACTCAATAGGGGATGCTCACTCCTCCATGATACCTGATCCCACCTCTAATGCTTTACATGTAGAGGTCCATGTTGTTTGCTTTTCTCCTGATTTGTATTGTTTCAGTGGTCTTTTGAGCTGGATTAACTATTCAGTATCTTCATATATCTTATCTTTATCAAGTATCATATGAGTAAAACAATGAATAATTTGCTCATTCGATATTCTTCAAATAAAATTCTGCATTGAAAATTCAATCAGTTTTATACATGAAATTAAATGTTTCTGACAAATTAGTGGACAACCACTGCTAACAGTCTTTGGGTTGTGAGGTCTGCATTTATATTTGTAATTTGCAAAGACAGTTATCTCCTTTGGTTGAGTCGCCCATGTGGTGCAGTGGTTAGAGCGTCTGCTCTAGAGTCACAAGGTAAGGAGTCGAACCTCACATCCCGGGTTCAAATCCCACTTTGGGATAATGGAGACCAGTCCTTTGGATAAGACCGTATAAACCGAGGTCCCATGTTGCAGTAGGTGCTGGCATGAAAAAGATCCCTCACTGCTCTATGGCCTTGTGTGCCTATCATAGGACAACATTTGTAGCTCTCCACCGGCAAATGGTGGCTTTTCCATATGAGTGAAAAGTTCTCGAGAGGGTCGTTAAACAACATACAATCAATTAATCAATCCCTTGGTTGATCATTTCTAATCATTATCATCTTCATATGGTAACAAAATGCCAAAAAAATATAGATGCTTATTTCTCACATTGTGATTTCACTATTTCTTAAGCATTACACGTATCAATCTCTGAAAAAGACAAGAAACATATATTATTTGGTAGTCCATAGAAAAAAAATTAACAAAAATCTATTACAATTTTTATTTTTCTTTTAAATTAAAAAAAAAATGGCAAGTTTGTTTTGAAATCTAATAAGGATAAGAAAATATTAGCTTTAATCATTAACTACTTGTACTCGTTGACAACATTAAAGTTTAATGGTCTTCTATATAATCTATAAATAGTAGAGATGCTGATTGCTCAACCAGATAATAAGTTAATAGGAGAAATGACAATAATTTTAAAGATTTTGCAATTACTGTGTGTGTACTTAAAATAGGGGGCTTCATAATGTAGTGGCTTTGACATGGACAACGATGCCCTGAAATAATAATTTGATTTTTTGGACAAGTTATTCCGAATTCTATCTGTAGAATTTAAGATCATGCACAGTATCGCAATAAAATTAAAAATATCGCAATATATTACAATATTTAATTTCCACCCAATACCCAGCCTTAGTAAGTTTCAAATATTTCAATTACTGTAAATCACTTTTTATTTGCAAGAACTTTATTTTCGCATAATTACGTGAGACAGTGTGCTTGCGAAAATTTTATTCTCGCGTATACTAGCATTCCTTAAGATTATTTAGAGCAATAACCACAATTCGTGAAAATTTTGTCTTGCTAATCAAGAGTCAATGACTATCTTGTGAAAATAAGGTGTCACGAAAATTTAGTGATCTACAGTATGCCACAATTATAGTTATATATAGAGTAAATTTGCTTATAGCGAACATGCTTATAATAAGTTGTTTCTTAAAACAAAGTAAATTACATTTAATTCCAATAGGTTTTAAACATACTGTGAAATTTACGGATTAACAAATTATGTTTATGACAAAGCAAAATCGTCTCTTCCTGGCACTAATCTTTATAAACAGTTGAAAAACATTGTATTTTTCCACTTTGCTACTGTAGCCATTAAGCTTCATTGTCGAAGTGTTGAGACATAAGAATAATTGCAATATAAATGCAGTGTAGGTATTTTTTCCTCATCTGTAAGATCATGCTCTTGGAGAGGCCATATTGATTTTTATCATCATTGTCCTTTTGAGAGACCATTCCTGAATCTCGAAGTTGTAATAATTCTCAAAAATCAATGCCCCCTGGTAGATAAGAGAGCCGAGTTTATAGCATTTTGTCCAATTGAGGCTCATTGCTTTGGCATGCTGAAAGGGACCTGCTGAATGAATTTTCCAAAGACTGGCAAAAAATATTCAGATTTACTAAATTGCTTCCGTGTATCCAAAGTTGTACAACCTTAAATTAACTAGAATTACAGGCAGGCAATGGCTACATTCATGCAATTTTTCCTTCATATAGGGTTTGCAAGACCATGTACTGTAGGTAATTGATAATATGCCTAAATAAAGTATTGATGGGGATGTTTATAAGCAAAAAAATTAATGAAATAAATATTAAAAATTAGAAATGAATTTATAATACTTAGATTTTTAGCAGGACATGCCATAGTACATGTAAAATTGAATATCGTAAAATTAAATTTTGCTTTTAAAAAAATTATATAACATAAAAATAAATTATCAGAATTTCGTCTCGCTAAAATACTAATATAAGCAAGGTATGAATTTTAAATTTTGCAAGACTCTGCTGTTTATAAAAGTTATGTTGTACTGTAGTGGATCAAATTTATATTCCAAGTTTTTTACTAAAGGTAGAATACATGGTACTACCCCCTGGTAGTAAGAAAATAACCTATTAAATTTTTACTTATATAATGAAATGATATGTATCTGTGGACTGCTCTTCTGCAGGGCAAATTAATAACATTTTGGCAGAGTTTTTGTTGTCAAAGATAATTCAATGAGGTTATTTAAACAATTTCTTTTATGTCATATTTCACCAAAATATATCATTTTGCCCTGCAAAAGAGCAGTACCGCAGTTATTGTGAAAGGGTCTATTTATATGTTAATTAATGTGATCGTTGTCAGTTTAAATATATTCCCCTGTTTTAATGTAAATTGCTTGAACTATTCATTCTTTATTATAGAATTTTAGGTTATCCATGCAATTTCAAGCATTTATATGAAACACAGAATCTGTAAGAGTTATCCATGTTTATATTGATGAAATGATTAGAACATTGGTGAACATTGCCTCATAATTGATTTCATGGAATTGACTGCACTTTAATTTTATAAGTCAGCAAATATGAGCTTATTAGAATTTGCATTTCTTAAAAAATACATTTTGCACTCCCTATATGTTTTTTCCTTAAATTTTCACATTCAGCACAATATGGAATAAAAAATGAGATAATTAAGATGATTTTTTTTACAATGAAATGTATACATGTGATGGAAGTATTTAATCAGTAAGCTAAACTTGTTGATATCGTCAGTAAGCTAAACTTGTTGATATCGTAAGTATGGAACCTCTTCCTCCACTCTCCCCTACCCCAACCCCACCCACCCTCCTTTCAAAAAAATGATAAAATTAAATCAGATCTTCAGATTATATTTTGAAAATGAACAATTTAAAAAAGACTTTTAAAGTAGCAGACAATAACAAAACTGCTTAAAAAACACAGAAATTAAAATTATTTTTAGAATCACGTCGCCCAAGTGACCCCACCTTCTTAAACAGTGGGACCAAGCTCTTAAACGAACTGTCCCCAGCAGGTCCTAATGGAAAAACTGACGCCTTCCTTTACAATTCTACTACAGATGTTAGACAGGCACCTACAAGCCCCAGTTTCTATGGGGGCTCTAAGTTTGATTTACAACCCCCGCCCAGCCCTGGACTGCTCAGCATCAATTCAGCATGGAGTGAGCTGGCCAAACTGCATTCTAGAAGGTCATCTTATGGGGATATTTCAGAAACAAGGTAGGAAATTATTTAAAAGAACCTGAGCAGTTTTTGTGGTTCTAGTTTTTGTAATCATACTTATGGCAATGGCTTGAATAAGCCTATTTTGATAAAATTAAGGCCGGTTTATCAAAATGTACAAACTATATTCAATTTAGAAGATGATTTTCAATTTCAATTCTAAGAAGCTTGCGATCTGAGTTAAGGGTCATTGTATATTGAGTCGAAAATTAAAGTTTTCACTTTTTTTTTTTTTTTCATGACCCTATCTGTTGAATAAATATCAAAGTAGGCTTTGAATTCATCTTTGTATTTCAGGAGTAACAGTTTATCCAATGTGAGCAGCAGTCTGAGTCAGTACCTTCATGACTTGGTCCGGGCGTTCTCCAGCCGGACAGAGAAGATCAAAGAGAACACCATCCAGCCCCCCACCCCCTCCTCACTGTCAGAGGTGGATGCTGTGTCAGAGGCTAACTCAGGTACCTCCTCAAAATATGATACAAATAGGTTGTACAGTTATATACCAGATATAGTTGTTCAAGATATTTATTTTTCAACTGTAGTTACTGATTCAGTAAGCAGACTGCATAATTTCATGAAAATTTCCATTTTCTCTGTATCATTTCTCAGAAATTGAACTTTGGAGAGTGTCAAGAGGTTTGATAATTGCATACACCATTGACAATATGCAAATTTAGCTCAATATACATGTATGGAAGTCCTTTTGTTTGAATTACAGCAGTTTCTGTGACAGAGGATGAGTCTGCCAGACAGAACAGAATTAACAATTTTTATCCTGAGCACATGAAGCTGGGGAAGGATGGTCTACCCACAGAGGCAGAGCTAGACAAGTTCTACATGGACTGGGGCTGCTGCAAGTCCCGCCTCCCCACCTGCTGCAAATATCTACAGTTTCCCTCCATTTTAGAACCACAAAGTATGATGATGTATAATCTATGTCCCGAAATAGTTTAGCCATATCTCTGCATATCCATATACTGAAGATGACATAAAGAACATTATTTAACTAGAACCGTCCTAAAATTTTATTTTCATATCTCTTGAAAGTGTGGGGGCCCCAGGTTAAAAAAAATCACCCTAAATATATGTAATTATAATGGAAAAGTTAAAGAAAATTTTTAAGTTAAAAATTCAATGTTTAAGTTCCATTTTCCAATCATCTTGAAGACTTAATTTTTTGAATTTAAATTACCACCAAATGCATTTTCATGCCTCTAAATTCAAACAAAAAAGTCGTGTACACATGTACCATATTGATATTTTGATTAAGTTCAACCAAATACATTTTTATGCCTCTTAAGTCTAAATTCATATAAAAAAATTGTGTATTCTATGACACATGAGATATTTTGATAAATAAGTTATGATTGTTCTTTTATAGGTAAGCTTTACATGAGCTGGCTGGCCCTGGTTACTCTCTGCTTTACCTACAATGTGTCTGTGATTCCATTACGAGGGATCTTCCCCTACCAGAATAACAAGAACCTGATATACTGGCTGATTTGTGATTATTTCTGTGACTTTATCTACCTGTTAGACATTCTTGTTTTCAAACCAAGACTGACTTTCCTCAATAGTGGACTAATGGAAGTATGGATGCTTTTTTTTATCAAACATATTGATTTCCATTTTTCTTTTTAATCTTTATAGAACCTGATGCTAACCTAATAATATCCTTAGCCATATTGCAAAATCAATCGAATTGTTCAGACTTGATCATGACCAGAAATTGTTGATTGTTGTTCAACATAAAAGTTTAATTTTGCAGGAGGATCAAAGACTGACAAAGAAGAATTATATGAAGAAAAGCATGTTTAAGGTAATACATGTCTTGTAAAACTGCATAACTTAAGCAGTAAAGTTTTAGTTTTGTAAACATTATTAAATGAATTTCTAATTTTGTTTGAGAGTTATCCCCCTTTTATGATTTCAGTTTGATGTTTTATCTTTGCTGCCTTTGGATTTTTTCTACTTTAAAGTTGGAGTTGTTCCTTGGCTTCGGTTTCCCAGATATTTTAAAGTAAGTTGTACATGTAATAAGTTATAGTACATGTATACTGTAAAAGTGAATATTTATAAAATATGCAATAACTTTTTTCCAATACATATACCCTGCATAACAATATTTTAAATTTGATTAATACAATGTACAATGTCATATTTTTGATGATTAAGTGTTCAGTACATTTCATTGGCTTTGAAGAAGTATCACACCTATATTTATACATGTATAAGATTCATATCCTTATTCATGTAATTTACTTCTTGATATCCCCATATGATTGGACATTACAGATTCAGACTTTCTGGGAGTTTTTTGAGCGCTGTGATCAGGCGGTTAGATCAGCTCACATCCTCAGGTTTGTTATCTTCATAAGCCAACAGAAATCTAACTTTACTTATATGATTCTCATTATCATTTCGTCATTCTAAGTGTTAATCTTCAAATTTTTTATTCATGAAGTTTCTTTTATCAATTATTTAGTAAAAAAATGAACTAAGTTTAATTTTCGATTGCCGATAGCCCCAGATTTCCACAAAAAACTTATCATTAGTTAATTTTGACTATTACTACACAATATGGATTTGTATCCATTATGATTTATGAATTTCAGAATTATTAAGACAATGATCTACATGCTGTTCCTGATTCATGTTGAGACCTGTGGATATTATGCTATGTCTGCCTATGAAGGAATTGGCAGCAATAGATGGGTGTACAATGGAGTAGGCAATGCGTGTGTATAGCAAAATAAATTAGCTTTAGTGTTATTTTTCTTTCATCTAGCATTTTACTTAATACAAAAAAAAAAAGATCAATCAAGATTAGTGTAATTTTCCCTCATCTAGCGTTTTACTTCATGAAATATGAAAAAAGATCAATCAATCTTAGAGTGATTTTAATCTTTCATCTAGCATTTTACTTCTGAAAATTTTTCACTTTGCATTTTATAAATATTTATATTTTAATGTTGTACTAGCTGTAATGGAAATGAAATCAGAGCTATTGAGACAAACTAAATTAGAAAGAAAATATCAAGTATTGTCATTGAATACTGTACATGTATACAGGGTTATTTTCACCCAATGTTATTTTCGGCCTTTTACACTTCCAAGCAGTTTTGCCCCATTTTGAATTTGCCCATCCAGTTACAATTTTGTTTGAGAATTATACTTGTTAAAATTGATAAAACACTTTAAAGAGATGGAACACCACTATCAGGTTTTTAAAATTCCATCTTGAGAATGTCTAATTTCCTATTTAAGCTATATCCGCTGCTTCTACCTGGCTACAAAGACGGCCACTTCCATTGGAAACAACCCTCAGCCAACCAATGTCATGGAGTATGTCTTTATGACAGTGTACTGGGTGTCAGGAGTGTTTGTGTTTGCACTTCTGATTGGTCAGGTTTGTTCCTCATTACATTTATTGTCTGCATTTCTGATTTGTCAAATGTAAGCAAAGTACCTTGCATTGTTTCCATTTGTTTGGCGAAAGCTAGATTAAATTTTCTTTAATTTTAAGAGTTTTCTTAATTTGGAAGACACATGAAAAAGGACATAAGCTTTCAATTGTATATTTATTAACTGTAGATCAGGGATATTGTGGATGCTGCAGGAAGAGTTAAGGCCCTTTACAATAAGAGAATGGATGCTGCCATTTGGTACGTCAAGAACCTTAACCTGCCAAAGGAAACCCAGGAGAAAGTCAGGACCTGGTTTATATATAACTGGCAGCAACAGAAGATACTTGGTCTGTTTATGTCCCTTCCTGGCTTATGAATCTCATTGCATGGAATCAGAAGTTTCTGAGTCTTTGTAGCTTAGATACATGCAATGATTGGTGCTAAATAGATAAAAAGTGCTCACAGTACTGTAGATTCTTAAAAATGTGCAAGGAAATATTAACATAATATTTACTCATGAAGTTGAATTATATACATTACAGGCTTTGTAAGATACCAAAATGATCATGTCCCAAAAAGGGGTACATATTTTACAACAGTTCATGTTATATTGGCAAAGTATGATAATACTTTTGTAGATGAGAAGGCTTTGATGGATACACTGCCTAAGAACTTGAGGACTGATTTGGCCATCCATGTTCACTTCAACACACTGAGTAAAGTCAAGCTGTTCCAGGATTGTGACAAGACCTTACTGTTTGATCTTGTATTAAAGCTAAAGCCAATACTATACCTGCCTGGGGACTATGTTTGTAGAAAGGTAAAGAGAATTCAAATGAAATGAAATGCAAGACAAATGAAATTTGTTGAATGTACTCCTATCCCCCTTCCCCTTTTCAAGATTTTAATGTCCTTGGAGTTATTGCCTGTAGTTAAAATTTGCCCAACTGTTTCTAAATTTGCCAGTTATTGATAAACATGCAAAGGACACAAGTAATGCAAGGACAAAACAACCCAGTTGCCATTTCTCTTTCCATAATTTATATTTCATTCATATTTGAACTCTTTATAGGGGGAAGTTGGCAAGGAGATGTACATCGTAAGTCAAGGTCAAGTAGACGTGGTAGGTGGCCCAGACAACTCAATCGTCCTGGCAACACTGAAGGAGGGTAGTGTCTTTGGTGAAATCAGGTCAGTTTGGGTTTTCACTTCTCGGGCAAGCAGTACAGTCCCAAGTACAGTGAAATATCAGTATCTCGAAGTTGAGGGGACCTGGACATGACTTCGAGATATCCGGGGGTTCGAGATATCCGAAGTTATCTTCCATAGTCGATTCAATCATTTCCCGTTTTTTCTAATATATCTTCATGCATAACACTATCCTGTTTTACCAAACATGTAGTCTTTATGGTAAAGACTCAAGCATATTCGCAATAAATATTAAGAAAAATAATGTTGTTGTTTAATTTATCGTGTATAATTGTAAAACAGTTTAATTTACATGCCTTATTGCATATACAGCGTTTTTTTTTTTTTTACATTTTCCAGGCCATGCTTACGTGGTCAAACGGAACGTATCATTAGCATTATAGTTGAAGAACCTTCTCCGTTAGAAAGGAAAAAGACAAATTTTTTAAAAGCATTATTTGATGAAATTCAATGCAAAATGTTATTTAGAGTATTAGAAAAATAATCAGTATTTAAACTGAGTACTTGAATATTATTAATAGCTTACATGTATTACATTGATACGAAGTACTACTACGAAACATAGTTTACGAAACTAAATGGCGGTCAAGGTTATCTATTTATACGCAGATGAACACGAATGTGATCAATCACTGCACTGTGCATTACGCATTGCAACTTAACTGTTTAATTTAAGTTTATATTGAAAAATCTTTTGCGTATTATGAATTTACGATTTTAATTATACAGAGCATATCATTAATGCAATATCGGTAATTTAATTTCTGAATTGCTGCGATGTGGTTTGTTTTATCAGACGTAGACTACACCAAACACCCAAGCTGTGATACCAATTACCCTGTCACAGATACCCAACATGAGCTTGGGATAATTAAGCTCCCCCAAATTTAAAGGTGTTAATTAATAGCCAGTGTCGAGAATGTGTGAATTCAGGATGCCAGGTGTGTTCAGTAGACCAAAAAATTCACTGCACTTCGAGATAAGCCAGGTAAAATTGGGGCTTGGGACTTTGAATATACTTCGACATAAGCGGGGTATTCGAGATATCCCATGTTCGAGATACTGATATTTACCTGTAGTATATTTATTGTATATCATGTACAGTCAAATCTTGTTATCTTTAACTCTATAAGGCCAAGGAAAAAACTTCATTATTGAGAGTTTGAGATACTGAGGTTAATTGAAGGTACATAAAAAAAGTGACTAGACTTCCAGCTTCTATCAGCTAGTGTATCCGTCAAAGCTTTTAAGAATAGAATAATATTGTAGTTTGCTGGCTCTGAGTGGAGGGGAAGGAAATCGGCGGACAGCAGACGTCGTCTGTAAGGGATTCACCAACCTCTTCATCCTCTCCAAAGGCGACTTCGAGGCGGCCATGGCGGAATATCCAGAGGCTCACAGACACATGAAAAAGAGAGCCAAGTAAGTCTCAACTAAAACAGGACTTAATTCTCTCTCTCTGAGTAGGTCACCCTCTCTCTTTCTCTCTCTGACTTGCTCTGTGACACACTCTTATGACTCTTTCTGATTCTCTCACTCTAGATCACATTCTTTGACTCTCTCTCTCTCTCTCTCTAACTCCCCTCTCTCTCTCTCTTTCTCTCTCTCTATTCTCTCACTCACTCTCTCTCCTAGGAAACTTTGCAAGAAAATGTTTATACTTTGTAATGTGGTCTGATTTCTAGTATTGTGATGAATTCTAAGCCGTAATTTTAATATTTTCATTTCTCTCTCTCACTCTATGTCTCTCTTTCTTTAGCTCACCTCAACCTCTCTCTCTCTCTAGGAAACTTTTTTGCAGCAGAAAATGTTTATACTTTGCATATTGATTAGACGTGCATGGAAGATGCTTCTGTGTTTCATTTTTCAGATGTGCAATTTCAGCAAAGGAATGGCTAGAATGTTTTTGAGCAGGTTAACATTTTTGGTGCAGTTTTTGGTGCAGGTTTCATTTTTAATATTTTCAAACTTTTGTACATCTACATTGTTGCTTCGGATGCTGAATCTGACCTACATTTTCCGGTGTGAACAGGTTTTTTTTTGTGCAGGTTCATTTCCAAGTAATTTTTGCATGGATGATACATCTAAGGATGCATACTACATGGAATTTAAAGGAGAAAAAAACTGCATTTATTCCCAAATTTACTTTTATTTGATTTTAATGAAATATGGAAAAATTGATATTTTGTTAAAGTTTATTAATTTTTTGCAGGTTTTATTTCCAAGTTACTATAAGCCCTATGTTGACCAAACTTTTATGTATGAGGGAAGTACATTTGTGTATTAAAGTTTTTGATGCATAATTCATTTCCAATATATTTTTAAACCTTTTCTTTGCACGGATGATAGCTGTAGGATCAGTTGATACAGGTTGATAACTATAAACCATATATTTGCATGGATGATACATCTAAGGATGCATACTACCAGGCTTGCTTCGGATGCTTCTGACCTACATTTTGTGGATGAGTGAAAATGTTAGTTTGTGATGAATGTATCATTTCCAATTAACTATGAGCCCTATAATGAGCAAACTTGCATAGACGATACATCTTAGGATGCACACTAATGGACTTACTTTGGATGCTGAATTCGACATACATTTTTTCAGATAATAGACCAGGTAAAAGTTATGGGTGCAGGTCAATTACCAAAAACTTGAAGGCTTATATAACATTGTATAAACCAAACCAAACTTGCACAAATGTTGCATCAGGAGATGAAAACTCTCAAATTTGCTTCAGATGCTTAATTTTAATTACATTTTCATGAACAACTAGTTTAAATTTTTTATGTAGGTCTATTTCGATGTATTCTTAAAATTGCTTAAATATTTTCATTTCTGGAATGTACACTTTTTGTTGGTTAATTGTGTGACTTTGCCTTACTTAAAGACAACATTCGTTGAGGTGAGCTCTGTAATCTCTGATTACCTATGTTTGAGAACTACATGGAATTTAAAGGAGAAATAATTGCTTTTATTCCTATAAGTTTAGTTTTATTTGATAATAACGAAAAATGGAAAACTTGATATTTTGTTAAAGTTTATTAATTTTTTTGCATCATTGTATTGTACAATTTTATGTATGAGGGAAGTATTTGTGTATTCATTTAATATATTTTTTAAACCTTTTCTTTAAGCTGTAGGATCAGTTGACACGTGAATAATATTTTTGTAATTTTCTCTTGTTCCTTTTTAGAATGTAAGTACAGGAAAGTCACATTTTACCCCCAAACAGCACACTCCATAACTAAACTGTAGAAACATCTAGCAAGATCATCCATGATATGTATACTAAAACTCTGCACTGATTTGCATGTAATTCACATCCCCCTGTTAAAGCCAGTTTAGCTCGCTAGTTCCAGAGACTTGAATGCAAACTTGATTGTCAGATACTTAAGTAATTGTCAGATAATCAGTCATCTGGTCAGATAATTCAGTTAACTTGTCAGATAATTTTTGTGAGATAATTTTGTCGATTTATGTTGAATAAAGACATTCGTATAACAAATTCATTTATTTTGTAAAACTTTTTGAGAAAAAAAATGTGTTCATCATATATTACTCCAAATATTGATTGTAAAGGTCATAAAATTTATATGTGACTTAAGTATCTGACATGCTAACTCAGTTATTTGACTTAACAAAGATTGCTCCACCTTAGATTTCAGGTAAACCCCATGGTATGAGTGAAAGTTCCTGCAAGTTATGCATGGAGTTCATTCCCCTTTGAATAACTGAGCCAGTCAGTTAATTTTAAAACCAGAATAACTAAAAGCATGAATATGCATGATGTTCACCCTTTAAGAAATCATTTTATATCCTAGTATTAACATGGTAACATTCATGAAGATAATTTAAATAAAATTTAATCCACAATTTTGTTTATATATTCTCCCCATGCATACATGATATTGAAAGTCCCTTACATACTGAATAATAAACATCAAGATTTTAAAGAATATTATGATAATATAATGTTATTGCATGTCATTCTGCATAAAAATCTTTAAAACACCTTAATCATTCCCTCAAAGGTAAAAATGTATCACATTGGTTTATGGTTCTTTTTCAGAATTTAAAATCACACTACCATATGATTGAACAAAACCTCTCCTAATTTTTTTTTTTATCTTTCAAAACCATTAACCATGGCTTTGAAAACTGCACATGCATTCAATTTGCATTTCTAAATTCCTTTAATGAAACGAAATCACCGAAGTCTTTAGATTTACTGATCAAAAATAAAGGGGAAAATGTAGAGAAAAAAAGATAAAGCAATTTTTGTAAGGCTCTAAAATTAATTTTGTTTTTTAATTTGCTTTTTTTTTTTAAAAGAAATTTGAATTGTGATATGTTCTTAAAATTTGCAGAAAGTTACTCAGGCAAAATGCTAAATTAGCCAAGGAGAGTGCCGAGTCGTTGGGAAGTTCCTGTACAGATGAGATCATTAAATCTACATCAGCCATTAGCAGAACTCCTAAAATGGTCACAACTGTTATGCAGGTATTAAACAGAATAATATATACAGGGTTATTGATATCCAATGTCATTTTTGTATTTTCATATGTTGCAAACTTTCTCCATTTAATTCATCCAGACACAGTTGTGTTAAAAAAGGGAGATAAATCTCCATTCTGTATTGACTTTGACAAGTATATGTAATGATGAGCTTGCCAGTAGATTTTATATGCAATACTGTAGATCACTAAATTTTCACAACACCTTATTTTCGCGAAATAGCCATTGACTCTTTATTAGCGAGACATAATTTTCACGTATTGTTGTTTTTCTTCTATATAATCGTAAGGAATACTTTTAAACGCGAAAATGAAATTTTCATGAGCTCATTATCTCGCGTAAATGCGCAAAAATTAAGTTCTCGCAAATAAAACATGATTTACAGTACTCATATCAATTTTACACAATTTTTAATAGTTTCACAATCAAATCTATTTGTTCATTTAGTTGTGATCTTAGACAGTATTGTTTTGGTTGTAAATAACACTAGATTTACCAAATTTTGTGATGCCAGAGTTGATGTCTCTTCTTTTTTTTTCCATTTTAAATGATGTTTTTTTTTTTATTCTTATAGGTGATGGATCCTGATTCCCAGGTGATGAAAAAACTGAACAAGTCACATGACACACAGGAAGTGGAGGAAATGTTGAAGGAACAGGAGGTTAATGGCTTCTTTGTTTTCTTCTTTAATTTTGATTTTATTTTTTGTTGTACCTCAAAATTATACACATAATTAAACATTTATGAAAAATAAAAATATTAGAGTAAGGGAAAAAGAAAATTTTTGTTTACCATTTTTCTGTTGTAATAATAAACTTGTGATTTCAGAACTCAGGGAAAGGGCTGCCTACAGACCAAGAAGTGGAGGAATTCTTCAATGAGATGCTGACAGTGGAGATACCAGTCCCCACCCCACAAAGCCAGCACTCCCTGAGAAAGGGGAGCAGTAAACTAAAGAAAGAGGACACCATAACCACAGAACACAGTGAGGAATCAACAGACTCAGGTACAGGGGTTTATCTCTGTGTAATATATGTATCAAAAAGAAGGCTGAATAGATGGAACAAATAGTTCTGTGTTTTATGGTGTAAATACTGATTGGAAATCATAACATCAAATATTTTCAATATTGGAACAATTTCAAGTGCCTGTGCACAGCATGTTTGTACAAAAGTTAAAATTGTATACAGTATATGACATGAATCAATAACATTTGGTAGTTTTTGCAGGGGTACAGCTGATAAAAGCCTGCAGTCCTATAGACAGCATAACTAAAACCATCAGTAACAAGGAAAGTAAAGAGTCTGTCCTCACTCCAGAAATAACCACAGATTTAGCGGACATATTGGAGGAAACCCGGAGCTGGGTGGAGCAGCAGACGCTTCATACACAGATGATCAGTGATGGAGGTTTCCTGGCGGAATTCTTTGAGGATGACCTCACGAACAATCCAGAGGAGGAGCCAGCACACAATGAGGAGGAGCCCAGGGGAGATAGGTCTGAGGACCAGGTGACAAAGGACATGGAAGGTCAAGGTTGTCTTCAGAACGTTGAACTTCATGGAGAGCTCAGGCGTGAGAGTGAGGATATGAACATGAACAGCATAGATAACTTGTTGAGTAAAATAGAGGAAGAACATGCCAGTAGTGTGGTGGAGAACAGTGAACACAATGCAGCTGAAAATGTGTCAGTGGATATGGGGGATGGTATTACAAGTGTAAGGGTAGAAAATGAACTAGAGGAGGTAGATGATATAGAGTTGAACAAAGACAGTTTGAAAGATGAAAAAGTTGAAACAAATGTTGAACAAGGTGAAAAAGTAGTTGAAATCAAGGCAGTTGACAATGAACTGAATTCACTTGAGAATAAAATTGTATCTGAACCAAAACAACTCATGAGTGTAGAACCCAAAAGTAGATCCCTCTCCATTCACAGTGCTGGATCATTGACTGAAAGTGACATCATAGAAAGGGAACCAAAGAGAAATCCCATACAGGAGTCCAAACGCGTCATGTCTGAACCGGCAAACCTCTCTATAAACAGAATTCCCTCCAAGAACAGAATAACGTGTGCTGTGGAGGTCCACCGTGAAAAAAGCATCACCCCCACCTCTGTGGTGGAGTGGCAAGACAATGGAGCTATGGAGTTACAAAAACAAGGCAGTACTGCGTCTTCACCACGGGAACTGCAGTATTTTGAGTCAAGTGTTTGATGGTACTTATTGTTTGTGACTGTAGTATCACGTAATCTTAAATGTTACTGTTGATTCTCTGTCACAAGTTGTGTGCTAAATGAAAAGTCTTAATTTATTTATTGTGAGAGAAAGATTGGTCAAGTTTTATTTGTTGTAAATGTAAAGTGTATTTCATAAGAATTTATATAAACCTTATTGACCATCATCAAAACCAACTATCTATGTGTATTTTCAATTCTTGCCTGGTAGGAAATGCATTATACACATTATGTGAGTTAAAGTGCATGTGAAATGTTTTTGTGATTGTGGTACCTTGTAAATTTTCTATAGCCTTGTGCTCTGTTATTTATTATTATTTATTCAAAACTATATTTCGTTAAAATTTGTAATACTTTTTAATTAAATTCTAAGCTGGCTTAGAAATCATGTTTATAAATTCATCAACAGATTTTCTAATCATTGTGTTTATGAAATGTAATCTTACTTATTTGTTGCTTTATCATTTAATCTTTATTAAAGTCAATACCATTAAAATATCATGAAACTCATCAAACACTTTTTTTGTCATTTTTTATCAACAAAAACAAATGTAAGTTTGTGATATGTCAAGATACAACAGGAAATACATTGGTTAGACGGTGAATATAAGTACCAACTACAGACAATGTACATGCTGCATCATTTCAAATGAAAACTTTGGGACCTTCATCTATATGTAAACATTATTCTTTTAGTGGTAATAATATTCTAGCTCTAGTATTAAAACTTCATAGAGGCTTGGTACCAAATGAGCTAATTTTTGATTATGTTGATCAGTTGACAATGAAAAAATTCACAGATGCAGTAAAACTCCGTTATAATGAGGTCACTGGGACCTAAGAAATTACTTCGCTATATCCGTAATTTGTTATACATGTATCTGTATAAGGAATTCGTTAAATTTACATAGCTGGGGATCCAAGATAACTTTGCTATGTCCGTGAATTTGCAATATTCGTGTTCATACTTAACGAGTTTTACTGTACTTGGTGTTCCAAGAAGAAATAATTACACATGTATATATACATACTTGTGATGGAAAGTTTCTACACCATGATAAATGTACATGTATTTTGAAATTTTAATTCTAGGGTTTTACTGGCATATTCTATGAAAAATCTGAAAGCATCAAGTCTCTGGAGTATTCAAAACATCACATCTGCAGAAATTTACATTTTTATTTCATAAATATGTATGCAAGAACAATGTTACATTGGAATACATTTCACAAATATGCATTGTACACAGTACATAAAAGTTGTTTCATGATTCAAACAACAGCTATAATAATTGGAAGAAAAAAAATTACAAGTAACTTGTTTTCATATCTAGTAAATATTGTATTAAAAAATTTCAAATATCATATGGAATTTTTAATTAAACAATATAATATTAAATTTTTTTAAACTGGTATTTGAGATTAGAATAATGTACTTCCAGAATAAGAACATAAAAGTCTAAAATATTTATATGCAGACAATAGACACTGAATTTTAACTGTAAAACAATCAAATCTCTTCAAGTTTACATCTTTACAAGACGAATGATATGGGTACTATCTCATTGATAGAGTGATAGAATATGTACCGGTAATGATTTTCACTTTAAGTTTTTTTTTATTAACACATTAGTTTGATTAAGAATCATCAATTTCTAGCTCCCTCATCACCCGCTGTTTGTAATGCCCATACCCTGCTGGATTTTCATCCTCTGTTTCATCACTTGATGATTCATCACTTTCATCTTCTGAAAAAGTAATTGTATAAACATCAAAATAAAATGACACTACTATGAAACATAAATAATATTCAATATCCTAATTATCTCTCAGAGTAACTTCCCTTTTTTGTGGGTAGGGGACAACAATCCACCTTTTTATTATGAGGAGGGGTGGGGGTAAAACAGGAAAACAAACTTCCAAAGATTATTATATTTTTAATAAATATCTTGCTCTTCAGCAATTGTTTATATCTAAAATAATATTGAAGCAATAAGTATATTCCATCTGGATTTCAATAGTATTGTACATCTTACCTATATTGCACCTAGATGACATCCACTCGACAAGTCCTCTATCATCATAACCAAAGGCCTGGTAATCATCAACATCTATAGATGAAATGAATACTTATAGACAGTATATCATGGTATATATTGCACAATAAACTATGACAGTACTTCTCTAATTTTATCATTTACCCTTCTGAATAATACAGTGATCTGATTTTCAAGAGCAATACCAGTAATGATGTGCAGGAAGACAACTTATAAGTTGTCTCCCTTGAGATAGCAATGGCACAAGCCAGCATACAGGGTGTCTAGTACGTATCACTATTATTTCCCTTTTGATGAAAATGAATTGTCCCAAGTAATTTAATTCTGTTATATAAATTACCGGTATATTTTTATTAATATGCAGGATCATATAATGTAGTTTCCTCAATTTTCGTTGGCATCAATTTTCATGTATTTTGTAAAACAGGCGTTTTCGAGGATACTTGATTTCGTGGACAAATTAAGCATTGCCTATAAGAATGAATAACACATTTCTCAGGTCAATGAATATTTGAGTTAGTGAACCTGCTCAACAACGAAATCCTCAAAAATTGGTGCTCAACGATAAATGATGAAACCACAGTAGCTCAAGAGACACCAATGTACAATGTACACTTATTGCATCTAATCATGATTTCATCACAAGCATACCATTCCCATACACATAGTCTATATCCTCCCCCTCATCCTCTATAAACCTTGGATCCTCTTCTGGGTAATCATTCCTCCAGTTACTCTCCTCGTTTTCATCATCCTCATCCTCATATATTTCATGGTCCTCCTCACCATTCATATAATCATACTCCACTGTGTGTAAGGAGTGTATGGACAGGGAACTCTCGAATATTTGGAGATTAAAATCTCTACTGTTGGTGTAGTAAAGATCGTAAACGTAATCTTCTTCCTTTTCTTCTGGCACCTGCTCGTGTACCATTTGTTCCGAATTACATGTTACAAGACTAGCATTTTGAGCTTCCTGCAAAATCAAAATTAAAACAAGAGGCCCCTGGGCCTTATAGGTCACCTGAGCATTATTCAACAACTTCCCAGTGACAAAAATTTGATTTTTATTTTAAATGCTATAGCATTTACAATTTACATTGGATAACTATACACTTAGCAGTTCCTTAGTTTGGTTACTTTAAATAGGCAGGGTAGGGGAACAAAAAATGCATTTCAACTAATCAAATATTCAGCAATAATCAGTAGTTTTCACTACCACACATGAACCGTTGACTCTTAGGCCTAGATCCACACATTGCACTATTTTAGGAAAGGCATCCTTGCTTTTCAAAAATATTTGATTAATACCAAGGAGCACATTTCAAACAATTCATTCATTTTCAGTACATAAGTACAGCCTTTATTCCCCCCTATGGTACAACTGACCCTGGGGCCTTGAAATTTACAATTCTTGAAGTTAAAATTGCTCATAACTATATAGGTAATTCATCTGCTTAAAACATAGGAGAAAAGACTGAAAATATAAAGATTTAATGTTTTTTCACTATACATGTATAATCAATACAGCCCCGCCCTAACATGTAGAATCCCTGACCCTAACTCCATAAAATTCACTTTTGGCAGATGGCACTTTTGCTCATCATAACTATGTACTTAGTTAGTTTATTTAATACCCAGGAGTAAAAAAGAAGAAGATTTTCAAAAATTCATGTATTTCCTCTATATAATCATAGAATATTACCCTGACACCAGAACCCCTGACCCTGGGGCCATAAAATTCACAATTCTGGTAGTGGCACTCTCTTGCTCATCATAACTATGTACTTAGTTAGTTTATATAAAACCTAGGAGCAGAGAAGAAGATTTTCAAAGAATTCATGTATTTTCACTATATAATCAATAGAACGCCCTAAAAAGAACCCCTGACCCTGGGGCCATAAAATTCACAATTTTTAGAGGCACTCTAGCTCATCATAACTATGTACTTAGTTAAATTATATAAAATCTAGGATTTCAGAGAAGAAGATTTTCAAAGAATTCATGTATTTTCACTACATGAATCAATAGAGCCCCGCCCTAACATCATAACCCCTGACCCTGGGGCCATAAAATTCACAATTTTGGTAGAGGTAAAGCTCATATTAACTAGAATATTTAGTTAGTTTATTTAATACCCAGGAGTAAAGATAAGATTTTCAAAGAATACATGTATTTCCTCTATATAATCAATAGAGCCCCGCCCTGACACCAGAACCCCTGACCCTGGGGCCATAAAATTCACAATTTTGGTAGAGGCACAAGCTCATCATACATGTACTTAGTTAGTTTATTTAATACCCAGGAGCAGAGAAGAAGATTTTCAAAGAAATATAGCATTTTCACTATATACTTATTTTTTTATTAGTATGCAAGAATATACCCCAGGGCCATGAATTACAATTTTGGTAAAGGACAAATGCTGATTATCAATCATGCAAACAGTTTGACTGCTTGATGTCCAGGAGTAAAGAAGAAGATTTTTGAAGATTGCATTAATTTTAGTGGTTTTGGCCCCATCCTCCCTCATATATTTCATGGTCCTCATGAAATTCACAATTTTTGTGTGTTCACCCATAGATGCTTTGTGCCAAATTTGGTTGAAATTGGTTCAAAGCAGAGAAGAAGCTCAAAATGTTCAAAAGTTTACGACGATCGATTGACGACGAACGACGAACTACGTACGAAATATTATGTACCATTTGGACAAAAACAAGATAGCAATAGGTCACCTGAGTGACTCAGGTGACCTAATAAAATGTTAGGCACTTGTATAAAGATTTCAGAGATGTTCCAATAAATGAAAAGCTGCTAAGTAATTTAGAAATTTCCATCCTGACAATGATATATCATAGTAAGTGCCTCTGATTCTAAATCTAAATATTGGTCTTTACTAGAAATAAATATGATCACTATAAAAAATATATTATGGTGAAAAAATAATACCTGAATTAAGGACTCAAAAGTTGGTAGATTTGACCGTGTTGACTGATTAACTTCTACATCATATAAGTGATAAACTTTCTCAGTTGACTGTGCACCACTGGCTGCTGAACTTGCTTCATGTGAATTTCTCTGTCCCTTTTCAACCCCCTCCGCAGAATTCACAATGATATTTTGTCTACAGTTACAAAAATCATGTTCTTTTTCACCATGTTCACCTTTTTCTGTACCTATCCCTGTTTGACTCTTTGAACGTTTTGCAATTTGCTTTCTACAAATGTCACATGTATCGGTGGATTTCAATGGTGAGATTTCCTTTTCTGTGCAATCATCGCCCTCCTTATCCAGAGCTGCGAGGTCTAACGCTCTGAAAGATGATGTTATTTTGAATCTGTTGGCTTTTGAGGACTCCTTTTTATGCCGCCTACTTCTGGGTAGAACACCTGGTTGATGACTTTTGTATTCTCTTTGTAGTTTTTCTTTCCTTATTGCATCTTTAATGTGCTTTGAAATCACTTCATCCTAAATAAAGAAATGACTGAAATTTTAATCCAAATGTAGATCTAAATAACTAGGATTTTAAGCTGTAATGAGATAAATGTAGTTTAAAATTTGAATTCTTTTTTTTCTCATTTATTTTATTCATCCATATACTAATATTAAAACGATGTACCCCGGAAGATTAAAATTGTTTTCACAAATAAATGGTAAGCCAAAATTATCATGTAATTTACAGATATACATATGTACTAGGAACAGGTCATCATGTTTTATTTTCATTAGAGAGTATTATAATGTAGTATGGAAAGGAGGAATGAGTAAACATACATTGAAAATTCATAAATATATAAATAAAGAAAACATATGGCTGGACCAGGAATTGAGCCCGGGACCCCTGTATTTCTAGTCAGGTGCTCTAACCACTGAGCTATCCAGGCAGATGTCCTCAGGGGTCCTCATATATTTACATTCCCCCCTCCTTAAAATAGTCTTTCATAAAGACACAACTCAAGTTCACCTTGTCAGGACTTAACAGTAATTATACATTATATAAATGGTGCCTGTTTTGGAGGGTAACAGTTGAAATTGACACCCCAAGGAAAACCGTTGTCAACTGCGCGTCAGCGGAGGTTGACAATGGTTTTCCGAGGGGTGTCAATTTCAACTGTTACCCTCCAAAACAGGTACCATTTATTTTATTATACTGAATGTCTTCTTGATTTAGGATGTCAGCAAAAAAATCGTCAATCGTCTTTACGTTCACGTTTAGAAAGCTTTCAAACTCCCCCCTATTTCGAAAAAGATTTACTGACCTCTTTATTGTTAATTTGATAATGTAAGAGTCCTTTTTCATCTAAAGGTCGCAAGCATGTTTCGTCTGTCGTTTGTTGTTTTCAAGTAAGCTACATCGGAGACAAGCTTTTATTGACGTCAAGTTTATTCCGGTTCTTTCAAACGCGCAACTGACGTTTTGAGAATTCTACGGTGAACCGTACGCGCATAATTTCCACGCATGTGACATTACGTTGTGTTACCCGTTGCCACGTGTGTTGCTACGGCTGAGGGTAATAGAACGGATTGTCAACTGCGTCTAAACCAATCAGATTGTAGTATTTAACATGAAAGTATAATAATATATAATGCTTGAACAAAGAAGGCCACGGCACCATCTGTAGTATGGAAAGGAGGAATGAGTAAACATACATTGAAAATTCATTAATACATATATATTGAAAACATATGGCTGGACCGGGAATCGAACCCGGGACCCCTGTATTTCTAGTCAGGTACTCTAACCACTGAGCTATCCAGGCCGATGTCCTCAGTCCAGCCTAAATTCCTACAATAAGCTGTAATCCAGCATCTTGAAAAATAAATTATCATAATGGTATATACTTCCTGATAAGGCATCATATAACTCTAAATACTTGTGAATAATGTACAGTCAAACCCTTTTATCCCTGAACTTGCTGGAACTGAGAAAAAAAACAAGATAACAAAGGATTCAAGATATTGCAGGGTTCGACACTAACATTTTTAGGCTTTGGTCCGGACGGACTAGTGCTTCTTTACTTTTACTAGTCCGCGGTCAATTTCATGAGTCCGTCAAAAATATAAATAAATAAATAGAATTAATGTTGCAAAGTACTTTTAATACTTTTCTGAAATAAACAAAGCATTTACATGAAATGTTTATACCAAGAATTCGTTGAAATCGCAAAATCAGGAACTACGATTGTATTCCCAATCTCATTCGTTTTTCTCTATACATGATTTCTAAACATCCAACATCTTTTTTTATGTGTCATACTAGATCATGATCGCTAAAATGTTTAATTTCATACCAATAAGCCCTAAAATTAAGTGCCAAATTGACTCAGAATAACCTAACTTCCCGCCAAGAAGCTACAAAGCTAAAAATAAATACAGGGTTTTCCAGTAAAAGTTGTCGAAAATTTGAACATCAGTAAATTCTTTTTTTCCCCAGAAAAATTTATTAGTCCCTTCAGACTAATTAGCTACAATTTTTATTAGTCCGAATGAAAATGTATTAGTCTGAGACTAACGGACTAACGTTAATGTCGAACCCTGTATTGAAGGTAAATTAGGGGTGGGACGATATACACAGATCTTGCGATACGATACGTATTTCGAAAATATAACACAATACGATACATATCTCGAAATTATGATAAATAATAAAACTTAGACTATTTTGAAAAAAAAACTTTGTATTTTATTTTATTTCTTGTTTTGACTTTAAATTAACAAATTATTCTATATATCAAATCATGTGCTTTGAAATTAATATTTGAAGTTCATCAATTTCATTGACTAGAAATTTACTAAAGCAATAATTTGTACCTATTCATTTCACAGGCGTCTATAAGAAGTTGATTACAAGAAGACTAAAAAATTCATTTAAAAAACAGGAAGATTATTACTTATTCCAAAAAATAATAATCCACAATTTGTTTCAAAATTTCAAATTCTTGATATTAGAGAATCCATGCTTCGTTATGAGCTGTTGGTACAAGATATGGACTAACAATAATATCAACTGTTGTGGAACTATACTTTCTGTTTATAAGTTATAACACGCTTTACATACTGAATTTTTCGTGTCCCATCTTCCGACAATGCTTATTAGTGAATATGATTTACTCCTTATCTACGACTTATTAGTTCTAAAGCGTGTTTTCAATATCAATATCATCTCTTCGTTTCGTACAAGCCGCCATTTTCCAAGGACAACTACTTTCATTTTCAATTTTTTGGTAGGTCGTTCGTATATCGTTTCGTTCTGATATTTTAATGCACGTATCGTAAACCGTATCGTAGAAGAAAATATCAGTATGTATCAGTATATCGTCCCACCCCTACGGTGAATATTGCAAAAGCAGTTGGTTGGGGCTTCCAGATCATTTCGACATATCCAATAGGGCTGGGATGATCTATCGAGATATCGAGATATCTGTGGGGACGATATGCATATCGATACATATGAAGAAATATCGAAATATCGCCCCAAAAAATCTGACTTCTGCTTTTCTTTGTTTATTTAACATTTGGGGTTTAATATATAAAATAAATAGGCTAATTATAAATATAGATATGTAATAAATAATAATTAACTCCACTTGAGTAAAATATTTTTGTTTTACAACATATAAACAACTATTATGAATAAATTATTCTTACTTGCAAAGAAATAATTTGTTTATATCAATGCAAAAAAGATTTTATAAGCAATTAAACATATCGTGATACATATCATATCGTGGCTCAAATATCATGATACGTATCGATATAGAAAAAGTTGTAATGTCCCAGCCCTAATATCCAAGGTATTCTAGATATTGATATTCGAGACACACAAGTTAAACTGTATGTCTTCATTTAACTTAATAATTCAGTTAATCCCCACCAACCAACCAACCACCCCCCTCTTTCACTTTAACATTCTCTAAATTGTTCGGAAGTTTAATTTCTCATTCAGAGAATTGAATATGTTGGAATTATACGAAACACTGGTGTGAACTGTTCATGATGTAAACTTTGAGTTTGAGCTAAGTGACAATGATCAGCCTCAGATGATGATCTGAGTTTTACTCTACCTTCGAAATGACAGTCCCAGCAAACTTCAGATAACTCTCACAGCCATCTTTATCATGTTGCCCAATATCAGCGACGTCTGATTTGAGTTTTTTACAGGAAAGAACAATATTTTCAGCAGGGTCTTCGTATCTTCTCCGTTTCACTCTCACTATGGTCGCCATTTTGAATATCGGATTATGCTTTACCTTTTCTTTTATTGAAAGGCGACAAATCAAGAGAGATTCCGAATGACAACAACATGTGGAAGACATGAATGATGCCGAATGTCGTCTTTTTATGTAAACATTTCATCAACCAAAATGGCTACAAATCGATATTTCAATAGTATAATTAAATGTAATAAACAAGGTTATATTTTAATCGGAAGAGTGTCTCACACAAATGTAAGTACAGATGAAATGCGGTCAATGGGGAAAAAATAATTACAAAAATCCGAATTTTCTCAGTTATTAGAAAATGGTGACATTTAATGTAATGTTTTTGGATTTCACTTTTTCTCTGTTTTTAGGTAACAGGAAAGAGGTTTTATAATGTCCAGAAATGCACATCCAAAACAGGGTTATTCAACGTGTTAAAGAAACATAGAATAGCAGTAAACACAGCTCTCATTACAAGGGCAAAAAGCACATCTGTAAGTATTGACCGAATGAAAGAAATACTGCTTACTGTGTATAAGATACATGTCTATTATCCGTGTACTTAATCCATGCATTCTATCAAAAGTGAAGTTAAAACAGTACTGTGAATACCAGTGATAAACAGGTGAATAAAATTACTGTGGGCATGCACAATCTTTACCGTTTTGTCGAGACAAATCTTTATCAGATTCACTGGATAATTTCAAGTTGATGATCGAAAAATTCTGCTCTGGTATATAATGATTATGAAGCTTATTTTCTTTTAAGGTACTCATACCATTATGATTAATTTAATTCATTTTATATATTGTGCAGACTGGAGTTGATGAAATCCTAAGCAAAGCTGCATCTGAAATCTCCAAAGATGATAAGTTATCTAAAGTTGCTTCTGAAGTGTCAAGTAACACTGGAATAGTAAAACCAGAACTGACAGACGTCACCTCAAGTTTAAATGCCCTGGGGGAAGAGTCTCTGAAAAGTTTGGGACTGGGAAAGTTCACTCCACCTGGTTTAATGCAACAGTTTTTGGAGATGGTTCATGTTAATTTAGGTGTTCCTTGGTGGGCATCCATTGTGATAGGTATGTTTCATGTATATGGAATTAAATCTTATTTATATAGAATTCTAATATTTAACTATAAATCAAGATGTTTTGGAAATTTTATCATCGGACAGTGTTTTCCCCAACTGGAAGTATACCAATTTAATTATGAATATAAGAAAGTTCTAGCTCTTTAAATATCTTGTTAATTAAGAGAGAGTATAATGACAGATTTGTTACATAAGTATTAAGGAAATTAATATGATATTTTATAATTTCAAATTTACATAATACTTACTTCCTTTTATTGATTCTTCTGTCATTTCTATTTAAAAATGTCTTTGATTGACAAAAATGATGAAAAGAATTAACTTGTCTTTTATCCCAATGATGAATGTCTAAATTCTGAAGAAAAGACATGATTTGTGTTTCAGAATGTAACCCAATGTCCATTATTAAACAAACAAAAAAAAACTCGCAATAAACGTAGAAAATTGCATTTTTCAGTAACTGTTATAATAAGAGGGGCATTGTTCCCTATATATCTGAAGGGGAGACAAAGAACCATTAACACCATGAACCATGCACCCACGACCCAAGTCCTGCAAGAGAAAATAACAAGGGCAAGAATGAGAAGGGATGCATTAGCAAGTAAGGCCCTCTCATTTTACAATCCCTTTATTCGCTAATATAATTGTTTTCTTCTTAATGTTAATGATTTTTAAAAAATAATTCTAAATTATGATTGAAATTTGATTGATTTTAGCATACCCTGTTAAGCAGACATGGAATGGATAAATAGTTATTAATGCCAGGAGAGTTATCTTTCTTTTCAGAGTGTCAACCCTATTCAAAAATGTTAGGTTTAGAGTACTGTATGTAAATGAGATTGAGTATACCATTCTTAATTTCATTAATAGAAATATGTTTGTCCTTGACTTGTGGGTTACCCATTCTTTCACAATCATTACAATAATGTTTTCTGTTATTCTGAATTTTAAGTTGAGCCTTTTTATATTGCCACAAAGAAGGCATGATACATGTTTCTAAACCATTTCTTGTTGAACTCAATCCCTTTTAGTGCAAGAATACCAAGCAGAATTGTCAGAGTACCAGAAAAAACATGATATACAGACTTACAAAATGTTTCTGCCATTGCTTGCACAGGTATGTTGTAAAGGAAGTGTTTTACTTGCACAAAATCTTGATTTGTATGTTTTATTGGCACAGTGATACAGACAGTACTTATTTTCTTCACAAACATACAACACATGCATAAAACACAGATACAGTAAAACTTGTATATAAATCTGGACATCAATTGATTCATAGAAATTTGCTGGATTTTATAACATTTTAAACAATCATATAATCATTGAAAGTGACTTCAAGTTTACATTTTATTGAGCAATATTTAACTTCTACATTCTATTGAGAAAAATTTTAGGATACTTAACGTGAATAAAAAAAATCTTATTAGAAATTTTTTACTGTACACAGTACATGTACATTGTAATACACTGTCTATTTGTGATAAAGTGAATCTCTCTTTTACATTAAAACATGCAGAATGCAAAAAACTTCAAACCTGTAAATAGTTCAGATCTCAGTAATGATAGAAATTAAATATAACTCTATAAAAGTTCACTAAAATAATCTGTATATTTTGACTATTAGCCCTATAGCCCACTTAGTGCATTTTACCTAATACACAAAGTACACTGGTAAAGCAAAGGTTTATTTCTGAAATAATTAAAAAAAAACTATATTCCTGCAAGTTTTAATCCCACTCTTTTGCATTTTACTAGAATAAAGTACACTGTACATGGTTGTCTTTTGAGGTTTTCTACATTTTGTGTCAATTATAGGCTATATGTGTCATATTTACTTTTTGCTAGATGCCATTCTTCGTTTCGATGTTCATTGGACTACGAGGGATGGCCACCTACCCTGTGGAGAGTATGAAGACGGGAGGAATCTTATGGTTCACAGATCTGACAGCCACAGACCCTTATCTAGGCCTACCTCTGTTGACTTCAGCTACTCTTATAGCCATTATACAAGTAAGTGTCTCTCCCCAACACCTAATTTGATTGTACACTTTAAAAAAAAATCTGTTGGTCTTAAAATAGGACTGCTAACAGAGATTTATATGAGGTAGATTTCTAAGGAGGCACTATCTACATGTAATTGCTTTCTATTGGAATATAACAATGTTGCCATCATTCATCATCATGCTGAAACCCCTAAATGGAGATACACCTTAGACAGGATTTGTTAATTTTGCTCAGGGTGATTTAATGAAAAATGTAATTTAGGCAGCAAAATCTTGATCAGGATTTGGCTGGAGTGAAATTTGGTCCCCCATTGCAACTTCATTTATCTCTGGAAGATGAAGGGGGGATTAACAGTCATCGATTAAAATGAAAATGTCCTTAAAGAATGACACTCTGTAGTTTTGTAGTTTGAAATATATATTCACTGTCTATTATTATCCATACGTTCATATTTCTATGTAGTGTCTCTCATTGTTTAATGCAGATTGGAGCAGAAAATCCCAACTCCAGTCCTCTTGTAAAGAAAATAGGATGTGGAATGGCTGGAGCCATGTTCCTCTTCATGATCAATTTCCCATCGGTAAGGCAGTTCTCTTTTAGAAGGCTATTAAACCCTATTACATTTCAAAAATTATCCTGCTAGATGCTGTTTTGGCTTGACCACCTTGATATCTTGATTTTTTTTTATGTAGGCCCTTTGCTGTTACTGGGTGACAAACAACACCATCTCTCTCTTACAAGCCGTCCTGTTCTCCTCTAAGGACGTCAGAAAGTTCCTGAAAATTCCAGAGGCTGTGGTGCATCAGAAGAATTTGAAAACAAACAACAAGACATTTAGAGAGTCATTCAGAGAAATTAAAGAGCAGTCAGGTAAGGGAATCAGTGTTTGGGTTATGAGTGATATGGTGCAATAACAGAGGTACTTATATCAAGTAAAGAAATTTAATTCTGTTGTCCAAGCTTTGGGAAGGTGACTGATAAATCCTTTTTCCCCTGTGATTGAATTTTGTTTTATTTGTTACATCTTGGCATGTACATTTGCATTTATCACAGTGGTCTTTACATGCACATCACACTTGATCATTAATATTGAAACTAATTAATGTGTTTTCTTGGAGATCTGATTGCAATAAATATGCACATTTGTTATATGAAATGTCTACAGTTAATTTTATTTTTAGTGAAAAAGAACAAACTTAAGAAAATATATGATCTAGTTTCTTTTTTTTTTTAGGTAATTTAAAGTCAAACGAAGAGGCCATAAGAGACTTTGAACGACTTCATGCCATTGAGATGGAGAGAGCTGGAAAGGGGCCTGTACCAGTCACCTACAAGTACAACCCAAAGAAAAAGAGGATTTCTAAAGACGATAGGGAAACCTTAAAACTGTGATCAAAATACTCTGTACATTCAAAGAGACAAATGAAAAAGAGATGGCAGAGAGTTCATTGATGTATTAATGCCAGCAGGATGTGTTTGCTTTATTTAAAATTTTACAGATGTTTTATTCATACTGCAACCTGTTAAAGTGTTTGATATTTTAGATATCATTCATCTGTTGTCTTTCCAGTGTCCATTGTATTTTCAGTACATGTATTGAGAGTAGTGTAGATGCCATTGTTTGACATCTGTGGATGTCAAGAATCTGATTAAAAATGAATAAATTATGTGCTGATTCTTTTTTTTTTTTTTTTTTTTTTTTTTTTTTTTTTTGAGGGATCAGGGGTGGATGTTCTATTTACAAAAGTCTGTTATGAGAGATGATGGTCAATTTTATGATACCAAAAAAGGAAGCAAGTAATGTGTGCACATTCTTGAATATTTACATGGACAGAAGGGGCATCATACCTTTTCACATATTCATTCATAGAATTAATACAGTAATAAAATTTATTCTCTCAATACACTAATTTCTTCTGATTGACTAACAAGTGAAATATCTGGCAGTTTGAACATTCACCCTCTTAAAGTCATGAAAATTGTAGAGAATCAAAGTGTAGTGTAACGGTTCTTTAGGATAGAAATCAGATGAAAATATGAAAGAGTTTTCCCCCTTGTCACAGTATTGTATAAGATTACTCTCTTGAATCATTCTAAATCTATGTATTATTTCAAAGGATTAAAAAATTATATGTACATGATAAGTTCTCAAAGTATGAATTGTCCTTATCTATTGAACTTTTTATTGTTATAATCATTCTCACTTTATCAGATTTTTTCTGTAATAAATGATAGCATTTACACTCAGCTTTTGAAATCTCAGTGTTATGAGCTAAGATAAATCAATCAGAGTTAAAATATAATTTGTTCACAAGAAGTAAATGAGATACTTTGCGATTGGGTACCCAGTTCATTGTACAAAAAATGTATAGTAGGAAGTCAAAAGTTTTTTTTTTAAAAAGTCTACCTGAAAATGTTTTTGCCCGATATCAGAAATTTAAATGGATTATCTAATATTTAGTACCTGGTAATAGAAAGGTTATTCTGTTTGATAAAACTATTAATATATGTCTTACTAGAAACTGATTTGAAAATTATTACTGTTGGTCATTATTGATTGACAAACATATTAATCATGTACATGTCCATATATGTTAAATTAGTAAATTATAAATTTGAAAATTGAAATAAAAAAAAGAAATTATAAATTTACATATTATTATAATTTAAGAATACAACTCAAATTGTGACTATTATACAACAGTAAAATACAAAAATAATGTTTAAAATTCAATAAACATCACTGGTCTTAGTATTTCTGTAATTTCCACTTTTTCCATGAGTCACTGGGCTTGTTTAAAACATTTAATTTTTCTTTTTTGAACTTGTGAGCCTGGAAACATCCTGATGGTACTAAAGCTGTCCTAATGCCATTAACATCACAATTAGTCAATTCATAATGTTTCAAACTGCAAAAACACTCTTGCATCGATGCATCTATAAATGTTCATTTTAAAAAATCATATACGCCAATCTCTTGTTATCTTGAAGAAACGATCTCTATTTTTCACTGAATGCAACCTCAGACAAAACATAAAATAGACACATACTATTGTTGAAGTGCCCAAACACTTCCGTTTAAAATCAGTTGCCCAATCAAAATAAATCATTCATTAGTTCGATTGTTTTGTGTCATACTGATTTAAAAAAAAGAACTATTGAATTAAATATTAATTAAGTCGACGAATGCCACAATACACAAGTATATGACTGAAAATACGATATTATTTTCGAATTTATTAAAAACATTTATACTACATTCGAGCTCCTTCTTGATTCATTTTATTTAATCAAATAAAATACTCAACTTGACATAGTCATTTTGTATATTTTATTTGATTAAATAAAGTATATCAGGATTTTTTTTCGTCGTTAATTAAAAACAAAGTATATAATAGTGAAATATTCGGCCTCAACTACCAAGATTTGACAAGAGTCTCAATCAAAGTTCAAAATTAGATTTCTAAGACTTAAATTATTTAATAATAAATTAAAATGACATGATTTGTCTGAAATTGAAATATTTGATAAAACCCACGAGCTTCCGGGAACCCCCCACCTCGACCAATGAGTTGTTTTCCTTCTAAACCTTAATAAAAAGAAAACAGAACTAGCAATTCAATGGAAATTTTTATTCATTCTGCAGAGCATAAAATAAATATTTATAAACAACAGGTATGCATAAACTCTCTATCATAGATTTATCACAAATTAAAAGTTGTACACGTTTAATAAGACAATTAAAATACCAAGAAAGTTTATATCTAAAATTGAAAAATTGCACCTCCCCTGTAAACAATATATTAATTTGATTGACAAGAACAAATAAGATATTTTATCATGCACAAAAGTATAATAACAAAGTACAGATAATACAGAAGAACACAAAGAAAACACTCACTAGAGATTTTAACAATTCAGATTCAATGTACATATAAATAAATCTATATATTAAAACAACAACATGATATAAAGCAAATATCTAAACTCCATGGCAAAATAATATTGCATGTACATGTACTATATATGGTACGTAAAATACGATGCCTACAACTCACTTTTAAGTCAAATGAACTCTAATTTATAAAATGTAAAGAGAACACATTCAAATATATAAGTAGACTTGGCAAAGAGACATTTATAAGCTTGCATTGTGATTCATGTGCATGTGGCAAATTCATATGGGTCTACAACTCAGATCAAGAAAAAAAAAAGATTTTTAAAAAATATGGTAAATTTGTTGAGATGTGTGTTTTATGATTGCCCTTAAAATATGATTGTATGTCCGAGATCAAACACTTCCAGCAGTTTTGGTTTATGATTGTCATACAATTTGAATTCTATTGTTCTTGTACATGTTATTTGAATTGAAAAAATGCGGTGTTTGACTGAAAGGGGGTGTTGTGTAGAACGTGGCATCGTATGGAGGGGGTTGGCCCCTTCTGACATTCGATGCTTCACTTGCTGAATAGCTCGGAAGTTCCGACTTCAGAGCACCTGCTGAAAAAGAAGGAACTGTTGAAATCGGAGAGTCCAAATTTGGCAGATTGCATTTCTCGTCGAGTAACTTTTCACTGCATGTAAGTGGTGGGGCACTTGGGTAGACAACGTCCTTGCATGAAAGATACTTTTTGCAACCTTCACAGCATGCATGGAATCTATCGAAGAAAGCTGCAATGCCCTGTATTCCTTTATCGCGCGATCCGTATTTACCGTCGACGGAATGAATTACCGGAGAAGTGAGTACAATATTATTGTCTTTCTCAAAACCTTGAAGGTTTGTTACCACAAGCTGACCTTTGGTTTCATGGAAACAGAAATGCGCAAACTGTTGAATGACCTTTGGGCACCTGTTGGTTGATTTTCCTTCCGGGTCAGTAAAAGAAAGGTATTGACCTTGAACCCGTTCTTCAAGGAGAACACAGTCGTCACTTGATATAACCCTATTGTAGTTCCTTTGCAGCAGGCGGAACATCCGGTTATAAAACGGCGCAACCTTGTCCATCACTGCAGCAAATGGTAGCAGGACTATAATTCTTTTACCTTCCAGGTTTGAATTAAATAATTTGGCCAGTTTGTGAACTTCCGTAACGCCCTCCACGTACTTGACGAGATCCGCCTCTGTAACGCTGGGGTCGTCGATCTTGACGACGCAATCGGTTTGGCTGAAGAAATTGACCTCACTGTACATGTAGCCTCGGAAAACGGTTTTCCGTTCGGCTACCACTTCCGGATAAAACTCGAAATTTGCCCACCATTTCCGCCCTTCTGAGCAGCAGGTTATAGAAGGCAGGGTTTGATTCTCGAGTTGTTTCAATTCCATAACCTAAAAATAGAAGTTAATGATAGTCAAATGTTTCTTTAATTCAAATTATCATGATGTAAAATTTACAACACTAGTTATCATGTTGTAAATTTTTCATTTACTTCTCCTTTTAAATTCAAATTTTACGTGATAAAATTGAGGCAATTTGTCATGTACTTTGTGATTGTTTCAGTGATCAAGTTTTTATACTGTAAACCAACTTTTATTCGCGTGCGAGAAATATTCGCAATTAAGTTGGATTTTTTTCAAACAAAAGGGGTTGTTATTCCAAGAGACCCTTGCACTTGTTATTTTTGAATAAGATATATTGATCCCAGTTGTAAGAATTTGTACCCAAAATTTCTGATTCTTAAACACACAATCACATGTATGTTTACTATACTTTAAAAATCACAGCGAATTCGAAGATTGTTTGTAAGTTTGAGGGAAAGAAGATGTATTACTTCTAAGTCAAAGACACGGTTATTTCGAAACCTCCGGACCTCATGGAAAAATGTAGTAAACTCATTTTAAAGTTTGACGACCCTGTAACCCTAGCTAAATGCGAAAGCGAAACATTTACGACGGAATGCTGCTACAGAAAGCATTCAGGTATGGAAAAGAATTTCCTTGACACAATATTTATTGTAGTCGTTTCGAATTTTTCCATCGCGATACGGGATTTTCACGGTCTTTTAATTCTGAATATAAATTATATATCCCTAAATTCTCTTCCTGTATGCTGGTGTTATTCATACATGTATATCAAAGATTTTTCGTAAGAAATTTGTCATTTCACGCAGTTGAACCATGTTTACTGAGTATTCACTTACATTTAAAAAAAAAAATTAGATTTCACAGAAATTTTTATTTTAATTTTATTTTAAAACTTCAGTTTATAGAGGTTCTCGTTTCTTTTCGCATTTTCTTTCCTTTTTTTAAATTCGTAAAAATACTATATCTCGTCTAATGAGATGGAGATAATCTTGAATACCTTGACATATAGCTACCGTCAGGGAAAGGACGTCTGATAGAAAGAGAAAGACTTGACTAAAATTTTCGCTGAATTTTAATAGAAAAAAATTAAAATACATGTACATGTATGTCCAATATTCCGTCCAATGCGTACTACATTAATTTATAATTTATACATACTTTCCTCCCAATAAATCTGTTTCGCATTGCTTGTAAAAGAAAATCGAGAATGGAATATGATGTTATGTTTACATGCATTAGGCCTATAGCCATTGAACTGTAAGATGTGAAACAAAAAATATTTTCAAATTTTTAAATCTATTTACAGTAATTACATTTTACGAAAGCTCAAGGATATCTCTTTTCCATGGTTTTCTCTTTACTTTATGTTTTCCTGTCTCAATTTTTTATGAAAACCAATGTACATCTTGCCTTTAACGCAATAGCTTGTAACAATTAAATGGTCTATTTTATGTTCAATGATTATTTTCAAAATCAAAAGCCTAGCTTTTCTGTCTAAATACAATTCTTTTCCGGGCAATGCTGATATTATTTGCTCACCATTGCTCACGTTTCTTATGTATTACTATTAAAACTCATAGCAATATATCATGTGATAAAAGTAATAAATTAAAATATTTTTACTAAACTAAAAAGATAAATTTTGCTTCGTGTAATTTTTTTTCGCCGAACTACTGACGAATAACAAGGTGTTTGCATTCGTACAAAGATAACACATTGACGCGCATCCATCATATCCCTGCAGACGATGAAACATTTCCTGAAACCGGCAAACAGCTTAGCTATAACTCACTAATATACAATAATGTTATTGTATAATATAATATTCAGAAAGTCATACTTTAAATTATTACATTTTATAAAATCGCAATATACAGAACATTTTATGATGCAAAAATTTAACTAATGTTCTTACCTTTATAAACAAGACTCTCCTATGTAAGAAAGATAGCTTGCTGCTTCAGTGGATGTGCGGGCAGGAATGCACGTGCGTTTTTGAAGCTTTATTTAGATGCGGAAATCTGCACATATAAACATACAGGATATAAGATATACAGATATACACAAAGCAAGAGATTTAAACCTATCTGCTATACTACAAAGGTGTACGGATATTTTAACTAAAAGAGTTAAAATTCCAGGTACAATTATGTTTAACTTTTCCATGAAACTTTTTTTTCAGTATGATGTGGAGATAAAAATATTTCTATCGATCTATTTTGTAGCAGAGCAGTATGAAAACAAAACATAACCTACATTCATACAAGTAATAAATGCAGAACCAGGCCTACGTGTGACTTCAGCTCATTACATAATAGATATATCTTTTATTATGGATTATTCTTTCAATATCGGTTAACTCTTAAGGACTTCAAAACTTAAGTTTGGAAAATCACCTGCCATACATAAAGCAAGGCATTAATTACTTCATTTATCTACCAAAAGTATAAACACATGTTCCTGAAGACGTGCGCTGTACTTTTAACACATTAATTCCCGCAGTGTCTGTTTGAGAGTAAACGGCAGCAATTGATGATGTAACTGATGCTGGCGATAACCGCAGCGGGGCGCTAAGGGCATGACCCTTTGACCTGTCCGGGTCTTACTTATCGATAATCCATGATGTAATTATCTGATTTCTATTGATAACAATACACGCCTGAAAGTACCGACATACGGTCAAATACACCAAGGTATATAAATACAACGGGAACTGTTTGAACACGATCGATATTCCAATCGCCATCTTGTTTCAGTTACTATCCCCTTTTCTCCTAAAGTCCATTCTAATATAAATGATTTCGTAATTTTCCAAAAATAAATTAAATAATTATAGTAATTCAGAATAATAATCTAACTACTATATTATGTGTTAATCTTATGAAGAAATATAATATACCTGAAAGAGATCGGCATATCAACGCCCCTTTCTTGCAATACATTTATCGAACACTATTTTGAGCACATGGCGGGGGTTACATAAGGAAATACTATTTTAATATTAAACAATATTATACACTGAAAAAAAAAATACGGAAGATTATCATAGAAAAATATTTCCCTGTAAGTCTGATTAATGTTTCCTGTTTGGATTACTTATCTCCCGCTTTGGTCGAGTCAAAAAAGATCTTTTTTTTTTAAGTTTTGTGTTTAGATCGAAGTCATTGACAGTTTCATTCTCTTACCCCACAACACCAATATATCTCATACACCGTTAATACTTTATTAGTACATATACTAGTTTTATTCATTGAAAATTCTTAACATTTTCTGGTATGGGGTTACAAAATTATTATTTTACATAAAAACCTTAACATTTTCAGTAAATTATCACTGAGAGAGAATCTTTTTTGGGATGTGGGATGACTTAGGACGAATTTAAGAAGAGTGTGATAAAAGAAAACATCATCTACATTTACACAGCCTAATGGCATAGATCTATGAGTATCTATCAAACTGACTTTGCTGCTACTGTATTTTATTAATTTACACGGATTCTTCATCATACACCATTTCCCTATCGAAAGAACATTTAATTAATTCTAGTTAGTAAGTTACCAACGTAAAACTAACGAAATTTCGATTTAAAGGGATAGAAGGAGTGCAGTGTACTTACGTGTTGCTTCCTGCTACTGAAGCTGAGTGAATAGGAATGCCTCGGATCAGCAACCAATCGATGAAGCGGTGGTCGATCGTCAGGTTCGGTAACTCTTGGCCGCGCATCGATCAGCCATCTTTATTACAATGTATTGGAAATAAATTTGTTCAAACGGTCACTTCATCAGGAAGAGGTGATAATTGGATGTAATATCAGTAAATTGAATTTATCACATGAAAGAACTTGTATCGATATTGTGTAACAAGGTTTTGTGTATATCAATATACATTTTTAACAACTGCCGGATGGAGTGTTTGCATATATACACGGAAGTGTAACAGTTTGTCGAGGATTTCTATAAAATACGATACAACAGTTCAATATATAACAAGATAACAACCTAATATAAATTGTACATTAATTCGTTACCAAGTCAGGTCAATATTATTTTAAAGTCGACACACTTCAACAATAAACAACGAGCTACGTAAGATAGTTTTTTAACTGATCATAGTTCAAGAAATTCAAAAGTCAACTTTTAGTCCAAGTGCACAACTTATCAAATGAACATAATGTTAACCTGAAGAACACAAATAAAAACATATTAAACGTGTGATGGCTAAGATGTAATGAAATCGAATATCAAGAGGGTGCTGCACTTCCACATCGATTCTGTCCGTCGGCCAACAAAAAAAGGAGGGGGCGATAGTTTGGTTTTATAATTAATTCTTGTATTTTCTTGTTTAAAGAATTTTAAAAAATGCTTTCCATGGTAAAAATATGTACGTTGATTATTTTTGGGAACTGGCCTGGGTGGAGAGATCCACATCAGTTGAACTTTAAATGAATATTATAGATAAAGAATATTAGAGGATTTTTAGAGAATAGTGAAAAAATAAGGTTGGATTGGAAGGAAAATTTCGGGATAAATAAGTGTTTTAGCATTTATAAAACCTGTTCAAGCTGTTTTACAGAAATCTATAACCATTTCAATTGTTTATCACTTGTCCTTAAGAAAGAAAAGGACATTTACAGGAAATTTTGTTTTAATAGTTTGTCTTATAGAAACTTACATTTTCCCTTCATTTGGACGATGAAACAAGTAAATAAAGTTAAAAGGGGAACATAAATAAATATTCCATATTTACACCTGTTTCGGTTAATTACGCATAAATGGGGAGGCGGTGGATGTTGTCCCGACAAGACCATTTGCAAAGGTGTGAAAGGGTGTAAGGAACAATGAGCTAGCGCGAAATGACCATGTGCTAGCGTGTTGTTTACAACATACCGCCACGCTTACAAGTTTACAACACGCCGTCATGCTATTGCAACTTTGCACAACACGCAGTCATGCTAACACAACACACCGTCGGGCAACACACAACACGCCGTCATGCTATTGCAACTTTGCACAACACGCAGTCATGCTAACACAACTTTACAAAACACACCGTCGCGCAACACACAACATGCCGTCACGCTAACACGCCGTCGCACTAACACAAAGCACGTTAGCTGTGTGTGCGTTGTGTGATAGTGCGACGGCGTCTTGTGTAAAAGTTTTGTTATCTTGAAGGCGTGTTGTGTGTTAGTTCAACAGTGTTTTGTCCATTACATGTAGCACCACAGCGAAACAAAAGGAATCCGTCTTCCTTTTATACCCATTGTTCACTGTGTGTAGATACAATTAAATATGAATCAGTGGAATTAATTTCGTTGTTAAAGTGTCTTTATATTAAGTACGTAAATAATTTGTGGAAAGGCGTGTCATTTAAAAATAAGCCATTTGATGAATATTCAAAATTGATACGAAGGGTGCCAAAGGAGGGAAAAAAACATTTTCCTATGACAATTAAATATCTTGGTCTATTAGACTGCAATAGCAACATGGAGATAGTCAATAGATGCAAACAATAATATTAGCTAATGTGCCTCTCTCTCTCTCTCTCTCTCTCTCTCTGTGATCATGTTCCAGAAATTAAATATGTACATTCATCCCAGATTTAAAAGAAAGGAATATTTTTAGCACATAACTGGTATTTCTATTAATGAAAGTACTTCTTAAAACCACAGCTTATTATTTGTAAACATACCCTGTGTCAAGGTTAGCAGTTCTTTCGCTGTGTACATTTACCATTTGATAATAAAAAATATTGCACAGTGCCACAGGTTGTAAATTATAAATCCACTAATAAAACAGCATTGATACAACTTTATATTCTAAGAAATATGCAACCTATCCTTAAATACAGAGAAATGTACAGGTCTACAAATCACGTATACATGTAATAAATCACAATAAAAATAACTCATTTTATGTACATGATGCAGTCATATTCATAAAAGTTTTATTAAAAAACAAATAGGTAAATTGCGCATAAATCATCACAGTTGCTTTAAATAATACAACTTAAGCACTTTAACAATTCTATTTAAAAACCATTATTTATGAAAGGTTTATTACTTAGTCAAATATATAAATCTATTATGACAACCAACTATGCCTGGACAAATGGAAAGGATATCCCTAGATACATTATTTTGCAATACATTAGACTTAACTGGCAATATGGAGGTTATGTGGACTAGATATAGGGCAATGGTATTCTTGGAACATGTAATATAGAATATACCCAGATGGAATGTCTAAATGGAGGGTAATATTCTGGTAAATGAAACAAGAACCAGCACAACAGTTTGTCCAACTCCCCAACACATGGCAAATTCTGGCTCCAGAGGAAAATCAGATCCTCGATAAAATCCAGCTATGGCAGCACCTGTACAAGTATTCATTAAAACAAAATGTACAACACTGTAAAATCATTTATAAGAAGCCTAGGATTAGATGTTGAATGCTTGTATACAAAACCAAGGTAAAGTCTGAATCATTGAAAAAATGCTGCTGTGTATTGCAAGTACAGCTTTATCAACAACTTTTATTTTCCCTGTACATCAATAAAGCAGTTTCCAGCAACCTGTAAAAGACTGGAATTTTTTTAAAGTTTTACCAGACTAAAGATGACTTACTCGATAAGGCCCCTCCAGTCAGGGGGGATAAAAACCCCATTACAATGATCAGAACGGGCATCCACCGGCCTATCTTGTGTTGTCGAAGACGACAGAATGCAATGGCTGCAGCAATCACATGGACCAGCACGCAGGAGAACAAAGCCCACAGGAAGATGTTATAGAAAATTTCTGTTGGAGAAAAATATCCTACATATAAACCAATATGACACAATGATTCAAACAATATTTTATGCATCCCTTCATACCTCCTCACAACCCAAAAAAAGAACCAAATATGCACAAAACAAACAAAAAATTACAAACCACACTGATTTATGTAAGAAAAGTATTTCTACATCAAAATAAGATTTTTTTGAATGGTTAAAATTAAAACTCTGTTTATATTTCAGCGTTAATAACTAAAGTAAAATACTTGCCATCCAATCCATACATAAGTTAAAATAGTGAGTCAACACTGGGATACAAACATTTAAAACATTTTTGTTCTTACCTCCAAAGTCATTGAGAGTACTTTTAAGGCCAAACACATTCAAAATGCTTTGACCTGTTTGTTCAATGTCATTTGTCATATTTCAGATTTTCTAAATCCAATTTTTCCTTTAAAGTTCTTAGCATCACAATTCTTCTAAAATTCAGCCCATATTTTTCCAACTCTTCCGATTAATGTTCTTTAATCCATATAAAATTTATCAATCTCTTCCACCTGGAACAAGATTCAAATTCAGTTTGTAAATACATTGTATTTACAATATAAGTCCCACAAAACAAATGTGGAATAACATACACCTGTGAAACAAAAGCGCTATTAGTATTACAGCATACAAGTGAAACCTTCTCATTCAACTTAAATTTCATTGCTTTCAAGCAATGATTATCAAAACGTAGCTGCATAAATGTATCTCTCTGCTTGAGAAAATTCGGACAGATAAAGCAGAGAGCTACATAGCATTAAAAAAACCTTCAATTTACACAGACGAATTTTGGTTGCTACTTTAGGTATTCATTTCATGTAGTTTAAGCTTTCTCTGGCTTTTAGAGTGGTGTCCTATAATTAATCATATATTAAACTCTTGAATTTGATACTTCTTTTACCTTTTAACAGTACGAAACAGTTCTGTAAATAGTTTTGTAATGTCAGTTTAAAAGAGTTACATTTCGATGTCTTAGGGATCACTCTGGATTTTAATGTTGATGGGCCATTGGCCCATCAACATTAAAATCCATGGGTCATCCGCCGGGGGTATGGGGGCCGCGTTAGGCCCCCATTGGGGTCCAGGGGCAACGCCCCGGTAGGGGGTCCAGGGGGGCAAAGCCCCCCGGGAAAAATTGATGTTTCATGCTATTTTGTGATGAATTTCAAGTAAATTTGTTGGGTCTATGAGGGTTTTTAAATACCATTTCTGACACAACCAATTTCAGTTTTTTAAAATAAAATGAATAATATTATAAATATAAAAGAAAGTTTTTTCCTTTAAATTTCATCTCTGTACTGAAAAATGTCATATTGGAGAATTGTTTTAGACTTGAGTTCATACAATAGAGTATTTAAACCAGAAGTCTCTGTCGAGACTGAAGCTCTACTGGTTTGTACTTATAGCAAAGGAAGAGAAAAGTACTTAAGCAGTTGGAAATTGAAACTTTTCAACAGATAAATAGAATAATTATCCTTGATTAAGTCTCTTTATGTTCTTAGTGCAGTCTACTTGCATGCAACATTTATATTATAATCAGACTAAAATTGTATTTGGAGTAGCATTTTGAAAGAATTTCACAGAAATTTCTATTATTAGTAACCACGGCAACACCGTTCATCGAAATCAAAAACCGCTACACAGAATTATGTATCTTACTGTAGTCTACTTGTGTGCCAAGTTATATTGAAATCAGACTAAAACTGTAGAAGGAGTAGCATTTTGAAAGAATTTCACAGAAATTTCTATTTTTAGTAACCACGGCAACACCGTTCATCGAAATCAAAAACCGATACATAGAATTGTGTATCTTAGTGTAATCTACTTGTGTGCCAAGTTATATTGAAATCAGACTAAAACTGTAGGAGGAGTAGCATTTTGAAAGAATTTCACAGAAATTTCTATTTTTAGTAACCACGGCAACACCGTTCATCGAAATCAAAAACCAATATACAGAATTATGTATCTTAGTGTAGTCTACTTGTGTGCCAAGTTATATTGAAATCAGACTAAAACTGTAGAAGGAGTAGCATTTTGAAAGAATTTCACAGAAATTTCTATTTTTAGTAACCACGGCAACACCGTTCATCGAAATCAAAAACTGATACACAGAATTATGTATCTTAGTGTAGTCTACTTGTGTGCCAAGTTATATTGAAATCAGACTAAAACTGTAGAAGGAGTAGCATTTTGAAAGAATTTCACAGAAATTTCTATTTTTAGTAACCACGGCAACACTGTTCATCGAAATCAAAAACCGATACAAAGATTGTGTATCTTAGTGTAGTCTACTTGTGTGCCAAGTTATATTGTAATCAGACTAAAACTGTAGGAGGAGTAGCATTTTGAAAGAATTTCACAGAAATTTCTATTTTTAGTAACCACGGCAACACCGTTCATCGAAATCAAAAACTGATACACAGAATTATGTATCTTAGTGTAGTCTACTTGTGTGCCAAGTTATATTGAAATCAGACTAAAACTGTAGGAGGAGTAGCATTTTGAAAGAATTTCACAGAAATTTCTATTTTTAGTAACCACGGCAACACAGTTCATCGAAATCAAAAACCGATACACAGAATTATGTACCTTAGTGTAGTCTACTTGTGTGCCAAGTTATATTGAAATTGGTCCAAAACTGTAGGAGGAGTAGCATTTTGAAAAATTGTTTACAGACAGACAGACGGACAGACAGACAGACAGACGGACGACGGACGCATTACTATCGCATAAGCTCTTCTGGTCTCTGACCAGTAGAGCTAAAAATTGATAAACAGAATACCTAAGTTAATTCCTCGCCCCTTTGATTTAATTGATTTAGTTCTCGAAAGTTGTTGAAGAGCTAAACTATAAAGGATGCAAACTTATATGCACATTTCTCTACTGAATAGACCTGGGGCAGTTGCAGATTAAATTTGGTTCAAATGGTAGGGACTCGTTTTGTATGCAAAGAACTCGGAGCAAAAAACTTAAATGAGAAACTTTTTATTTGTTTGGAAAACATTTTAGTCCCATCTGATCAAATTCCAACCACGGGTGCAAAGTTAGCCACTTGGACTGGAAATGACGAACATCGTCATCGTTGCCGTTGACATCAGGAGTCAACGTCTTGGACTGTTCTACTTAATCAGAGACCTCTGCCGAGTCTGGGAATGAAAAAGTTTCCGTCGTTTTATTTGTAAAACAAACGAAAGCTTTCGTTGTTTTGGGTCAGTTGGCCCAATACCAATCTTCGCTTTGGAGGCATTTCGGGCAAGTGTCTGGATACACAATGAGTAACTTGTACTTGTTTTGTTTCGAAATAAATAATCAAAGTTTTAAGAAATATTAGAACATATTACATAGTGGAGTATTACTTTCAAGTGTTTATTATTCAAATCATTACATATAATTTTAATAAATATAATTGACTCAGTATTCGGTAAAAAAAAATCTAATAGCGTAATCTAAACGAAGGAAATATTCCATGTACAATTCCGATTTTAGTCTTGATCAATCAGACGCTCTGCTGGTGTAAAGAACATATGCAGCTACAAAGAGTCTGATTGAACGAGTAACAGTATGCTCAGATACGTCATGAATACAATCGGTCAGCTTGAAAACGGTCCTAAAATTAGGGCTGTCACGGTTCCAAAATTTTTCGGGTCGGGTCGGTTCTGAATTTTTGAGGTTCGGTTTCGGTTTTCTCGGGTCGGGTAGGTAATGGAAGAAAAGCTCATGATTTGTATTATTTTCAACAATAAAAAGAATATTTCTCATTTAATCTTAGAAATTGCAACATTATAACTAGTTTAAAGTAGCCTCCTGACTAGACAACAACTGTACCAAATTATTTTTAAATCACCTTTCAGGGTTTCAGATTGAAATAAGTAACTACAGGACATCTAGCATATTTACCAGAAAAGTTATAGGCCATTCTGTCCTAAACTTCCTAAAATTATAGGCCAATAGAAAAGTTAAACTAACTCAGATTTCTGTCAGACTTACAAAATAATCATTTTATTGCATAAAATATTCAAACTTGTATATTAATTTTCCTTTTAATAAGGTGGAAATATTATTTTGTTTCTTTTAAACAAAATTAATATATTGAAACAGAATGGTAATTGTTTTTTTTAATTCCATTCAATGGGTATTTAACTTATATTAGTCCCACCTTTCATTACATGTAAATGTATTTATTTCTTGGGATTACAATTTTTAAAATTAGTAATCCAAAAATTAGACTTGTATCTCTGATGATATTCAATGTATAATTACGTTTAAAGATTACCTAGACTATTTTTTTCCCTTAGTAAAACCTTGCAACATTGTCCGTTTCCTGCTATTAGTCCGACAACATGTTCAATCATGGCGGTAAAAATAACAACATGGCAAGGATTCCTTCGATGTTTTAAACATTCATCACTACTTTATGCTCCTTGCAGTTGGGTTTGGAAATAAAATTATAGAGTATTTTGTCAAGATCTATTTATACCAAAATGTCATTGGCTGATTGAATCGGCAGTTGCAGAAAGTAGAGAAAAACAATCGGATCTGAATGGAGGAAAAATTATACGAATGGCCTTTACATACAGAAGATAATCGGCCATTGTGTCTGTTCAGTGTCAAACTTATAGGCCAACATGGCAGGTAAACTTTTATTGGCAAATGGCCGACGCCTATCTGAAACCCTGCCTTTTAATGACAATTTACTAACAAAACTCTCGTTTTTGACGCCATTTTATAGTAAAATCTACTCTATTATACAAATCGGAACCGAACCGAATTCCAGAAAAACGGAACCGTACCCGACCCGAATTAATTGTTCCGCGGTTCCGGGTCATTTCGGGTACCCGTGACAGCCCTACCTAAAATGCACCAATATAAGAGTTTCGACCCACAATTTTGCATCTTATAGCGCCATATCTGTAAGACATGCGCCAGACTGACCCCTTTCTAATTTTTTAGTGCGCCATTTACAAATATTGAGCGCCAATGGCGCAAAGGCGCAGCCCAAAGTGATCCCTGTGTCTGTAACCATAAACAGCCATTTGTTAGAGTTAAAAGGTAAGTAAGTTATCAGGAATTGAAGTTAAATGTATGATAAATTATTAAATGCCATTTCTAAAACTGCGGAGAGTATAAAATACAAGAAAAAAAAATATCCAAACTGAGCGACAAAAATCGTCAGCGTAAATCAAAGCCAAAGGTTTTTACAATGCTTGGATCTGTAGGTCTCTGCTTTATCTGTCCGAATTTTCTCAAGCAGGGAGCTACAGGTCTGCAGCAGCCAGCTAATCAAAACATTGAATGACACTGCTCTTGTAGAAAGTAGAAAGAATAGAACTGAATTCCATCTGCTTTCTGCAGAAATTCAAAATTATTAGGTATTGTTATCACTTCCAAACTGACAGTCCTCCATCCTCATTGTCTCAATTATTAATCTCTCATAAAATATAAACAAGTAAAGATACAATTTCTGAAGATGAATCAACTGTTCAAGTAAGTAATTGTACCCATTCAATATGATTCATTACGACCGAATTTGTACGGTTATAGATAAAATGTTTACGAAAAGACTTACAGTAAAATAATAAATCCTATTGATTGACCTCCTTAAGAAGATTGATGTCTGGTTGTTCCAGGTTTTGAGTCTTTTCCCGATGTAAAGCTGTAACTTAACACTTAAAACGACAAAAGCGAAGTCAATCAATTCAATCCGCTCGTATAAAAATAAACTGGTTCGCTTTTGAACTACCAGCCAAATCCATTAAATCGTACTACGTGCAATTCGGATTTACCACATGCATACCAAATATTTCCTGCGGAGTTGTCATTCGTTCCTCTCTCAGACGGGTATGAAACGATGGACCCATAGAGTACATGCACAGTATTTAACAAGTTGAATTGATGCAAAGCATCAAATCGACCACGAAATGCATATTAATTTCTTTATGCAAAAAGGAATTCAAATGAAAAATTAAAAAGAAATAAAAAAAAATGCAGGTTGTACACTTGAAAAAAATTCTATTGCCTTACATTTTCTGTGCAATATTTCACACTTTAATTTTTAATATGATAAAAAAATTAATGTATGTCATAATAGAATACAAGTTTATCTTTTTAAAAAGATAGGTGAGCTAGCGCCGTAGCAATTTTTAAACACAGAAAGGAAGGTCCGTGATCAAGTGATTTATTTTGCTGAATTTTTTAATGTTTATCGAGGCTGGTTGTGATCAGGTGATAAAGTTATGTTTTTTGTGAAAATGTATTTTACAGACACATAGGTAAAGAAACGGGGGGGGGGGGTGAAGTTTTTGTGTTGACCCATTGGAGTTTCCAGAGAGTTCCAAATGAGAAGATGTGAAGTAATTGGCCCTTTGGGTCATCTTTGTCAAGAACTGTTGGGTTAAAAGCCATACACAGAATTTTTTTCATAATAATGGATTTATTCGTCATTTTTAGTGTAAATTCTTGTTTATGGAATTTCTTGCGTTTTCTACATTGTCATGATTGAGAGCATATACATGTAGAATATATTTTTACTGTGGTGAGGTCTTGAAAATACACGTGTAGAGTCCATCTTGGCTTAGACGTAAATAAAATCTCCCTTGTCTTTGTTTAGAACAATCATATAATGACTCGGGCTTTTCCGTCAGAAAAAAGGGAAAATTTGAAATATTACAATTAGGCCTATATAGTAATTTTTAAAGTGTAAGATACACAATAAATAACGATACAAATAAATTCTTATCGTACGATCTATCTAAAGTAGTTTTCCCAGAATACACGACCATGAAGCCGAGCATGCGTATTCCAGGAATTTGAACTAGCGTATTTGCTAGCGCTCAGAGCGCTAGCAATTATCATCATAAAATTATTTGACTCTAATACAAAATTTTTAATTCAACAAATATCTTGGTTAGAATTAAAAAAAATATTATAATGTAACATATATATACCCCCGAATCCTCGATTAAGAGGGACTCAAAATACATGGACATGGTGTACAGTCTATTGGAGCATTTAAAACTTTAACATGATGAGATTTTTGTGAAGATAAATATATGTTAAAATCTTTTCTTTTAAGGAAACTCTAAACATACACCAAAAATATATTTTGGTCATTATTAATCACTTAAAGATTCACATACTGAGTAACTTTTCAACATAATTTTGGTACCCGCCTTATTTTTTTTTCAGGAAAAATGTTCAAAGACAATGAGAATCATAACAAAGCATTTACATGTAGTTCAATTTCGATACCATGCAGGGGATAATTAAAGCTTTACAGGATCAAAGATGTCGACATTAGTAATTTATGGAAACTGTCATACGCGTACTTTTACTCGTATTTTCAAAACAAATAGAAAGCTTGTACCCAAAGGACTTCAATTCAAATATTTATGCTTTTCTTGGAAAGGCTTTATCTATATAATCTTAAAATGAGTTCACAATTCTCCGTTTCTGTGCAACAGCTTTCGAAAGCAATTACTTCTGATATTGTGTCCACAATCAGAAGACAGCGAGATAAAAGCACGTGTGATTCATTCTCGTGGTTATTGAATAATATTAAGAATGTATATATCAGCAAGCGTTTTCTGAATGTTTCAGTTAACATGTACCGCGAAATAAAGATCAGTTTTTACAATTAAAAACTTGAACTGTAGGAAAAACCTATTGATAAGAAAACTTTTTTTTGTTAGAGTTGATATTAAAGCAATCGGATCGTTTTCTATTCCGGTTTCGAAAGTATGTCAGACAATAAGGTTTGTGTAACCTTCATTGATAAACTCTTAATTAAATGAAATGATATTTTGTAAAGGGAGAGGGTTTAACAAGCAGAATACTTTGACAGCCTATTTTAAATAAATTACAAACATATCGCAGAATATGCCCAAAGTCAAAAACGCCCATTTTCTTATTTGATACACATCGCTCACCTGAGAAGCTTTGACCATTCTGTTCTTTAAATTTCCCCCTTTTAATACATATATCCCCACCCTACCCCAAAATTTTATAATTTTAATTTAGACATTTGAAATCTACACTACCCCATGATTCTTCCATGTGCACATAATTTTTCAGCTTTTCTGGCCCAAAAAATGGTTAAAATTTTCAGATTAGAAGATTTTCAAAGATTTGTCCTATATATTTCTATCAGTAAAACTTTAATTCCCCATTGTGGTTTTTGTTAAACTTCCCTCTGGAATTTTTCATGATTTTAACAATTTAGAGAGATCTACACTTTGTCCTATACTCGGATGCTTTTCCACATAAGTTTCAGCTTTCTGGCCCTGTGGTCTCCACGTCCCACAGTGAAGATTTTCAAAGATTTTTCACAATATATTTCTTATTAATAACTTTGATTCCCCATTGTGGCCCATGCGATGGCTCCTTCCCCCAGGGGGTTCATATTTGTAACAATTTAGATAATCTACAATACCCTAGGATGCTTCCACATAAGTTTCAGCTTTTTGGCCCAGTGGTTCTTGACTGAAGAAGATTTTCAAAGATTTTTCCTATATATTTCTATGTAAAACTTTGATTCCCCATTGTGGCCCCGCCCTTCGCCACGGGGGTCATGATTTTGAACAATTTAGAATCTACAATGTTTACCACTCGCAGAGAAAAAGTGTTGTCAAATACACTGAAATAAAAAGCAACAAAAAAAAAAGATTTGAAGATTTAAATTGTATTATACATGCACTGTTGGTCAAGGTTTAATACCAGTCTTTCCCAGTGTTTGTGGAATTTTTCGGTTATCATGGATATGAAACTAATATTTTGTTAAAAACAAAATACATGTAAAGTAAAAATCCTGTTAAAGAAGAGAAAAATAAATTTAGATAAAGTTGATAAATTTCCAAGAATTACGTTCCACCTGAAAAGACAGGTTTCACAAAATAAAACTTAATATCTATTATTAGATTTAGAAAGTCGTTACCTAGGTTTTGACTGGATGAAAGACTTGGTAAGGTATGATCGTGTGTAATCTACAGGCAATGAATCATTCAAGCTTCTAGAAATTCTTTCTTATTAGATTTAGAACCAAGGTCGTGATAAATGTAAAAAATAATGTACGTGTAATAGAGCAAATCATTGTAATATAAATTTTGTAATAATTATCTAGCAGTAAAAGTGGCCTTTGAAAAATCTTATTGTTGCATGTTTTCCAGCGAAAGATATTTAATACGATCATAGAGTTACTGTCTAGAATTTATTTCTAAATAAGAAAACCAGAAGTGTATGACGAGACTATAGCTTGCAATACTAGTTTATACAGTGTACTTATAATGAAGGAAGAGAACAGTAACATTTGGATTTATATAGGTCCCTGAATACGCGTATTTAAATGAATCAGTGAAACCAGTGAATTTATGTTATACGAGTTAGCAAATGAAAATATTTGTACTGAATTACAATATTTGTAATTAAGGTATATTGCTAGTAAATATGGTACATGTTATCCAATTTGATAGCTGAAATGAAAGATCATTCAAACTTACACAAAAGGAACGATTCATTATTTTTTTTAAAATTCAAACCGTAGGAGGAAGAGTACTATGAAAAATGTTATACAGAGAGACCAATGAACAGACAAAGAGACAAGAACACTTCCACCCCATAAACATCCTTTGATTTAGTGCTACATACCATAACATTTAAGTCGGTAGTATAACTAACACTTGTCAATCCATATGTATCAAAAAAATCTATACTGCAAGTAGTTCAAAAAATTAACCGATTACACACATATTTTACCTCCTATTGAATAAAATGAAAAATAATATTGTTAAAATATTTTTATAAAATTATTGTAGCATTTAATAACGACTTTGACAACATTTATTGAAAAACAGATTTGAGCGATTTATTTACGAAATTCGTTTGTTTGTATATATTCTTCATGAATTAATCCATCCAACTTAATTAATATGGGAAGTGTACAACTATAAATAGTTAATAATAATAAAAATAAACTAGATGTGCTGTAAGCACTGAGCTCACTAAATGGTACTCCCCGCCTCCATATGATTATAATGGAAAATTTCATGTTTTGCTCTGGAAAACTGAAATAAGTGTCAGATCAAAAAGTATAATAGGATCCAATGGTATTATGTAAGAGTCTTTGAAAGTATCTTTAAACTTTATTCATTGTGTAGGAGGAGTTGAGGGTAAATTAAATAGGGGGTGCACTATGACACTATGTAATAAACATAATGATTCTGTGAAAGTCTCATGAAATTTCAACGTGTAACAGACAGATGCATGTACACACAGACGGACGGATCTCCGATCACTATATACATGTATATACATTACTAGTACCCTCCCGCTTTTCAAGCGGGGATATAATAAAAGAATATAACATGTATCAAGTATCTTTCACAGAAATCCATGTAAAATTACTGTAGGGTGCTTGTAATGAAGGCTTAGGTCCTTCAGATACAAAAGAAACATTTTAAACTTAAGTAATATAATAGGTAGTAGGTACAAAACACACTATTTTTTGTAAAAGATATACTTTGTCATGCTTTAGCTTACAATTTAGAAGAGTTGTTTATTAATCTTGACAACTACTTCTTACGTTTTAAGACAACAAAGGCCACAGAAGAAACGATATTAATTGACATGTTATGTAACTTGATCATGATTTATGGATTCGAGATAACCTTTAATGGCGATGTGT